CAGTGATCATCGTCAGACAGTGACAAAACTCCGGTCGTTGCCATAGACATGATTTGAGATGAGTTTTGCAGTGTTGACCTTGAAAATGAGAAGCATGGCCACTGGGTGGCGACCGAGGCGTGGTTTGTTTATAATTTTTGTGCTGGACAGTGATGATAATTGTTGATCCTGAGTACATGATTGATAGCGACAATAGCGATGATGAATCAGAAAATGACTTGTGATTCTGAGCACATGCAAGCACATACTATAGCTCTATGTAGGTAACCGAATCTTTGCGTACGTAGCGGTGTGCTATCCATGCCAAAGTGTTATATGTCCGGTTAAAGCTTTTTTTGTCCGGTGAAGTGGTGATAAACATTGTGTGGTTTTTATTTTATAGGATCAGTGTTTCGATTTTTTGTTTTAATTATAGCATTCATATATGCACATACTTATTTTTTAAGTGCCAGGGACTTCTCATTGTGAATAATTTTGTTCGTTTTTTCATTTCAGTTTATTATATGTCATTTCTGAAAAGATAATATAAAAAGCCCTTTCATCATGGCAAGCACAAGCAGAGATAGAGGCAGAGGGCGTAAGTATTTAAATGGCAACCAGAAGCGAGCACTGGCAAAGGCAAAGGTGCTTGAAAATGAAAAACATCGAGGTGCTATCAAAAAATTTCTTGTCACTCCACCTTTGAAACGCCCATGTATTGAAGATGAAGAAGACAAAAACGATTCAGAAAATGACAATACAGCCATTAGTCCAATTACAGTTGATGAATACAATGAAGAAATTGATATTCAGTTTGAAAAAGTTCAAGTTGACACACAGACACAGTTGAATCAAACTGAAGACGATCTTAATACAACAGAAGACAGTGCCAAAGTGAGAAGTCCACTTATAGCTAAAGAAGAGTCAGAAGGCCAAGCCCAAACATCAAACAGTGATGGATCATCCACAAGTACAGTTGTAATTAACATTAATGATGACCCGGCAAGTTGGCCATCGAATATAAATAGAAATATAAGAGATTATTTAACAATGAAAGGGCCTCCTGATATTCCAGTGAACAAGTTTCCACGAAATGAAAAGGGATTGTGTTTTTCTAAGTTTCACTGTAAGAGAAAACTTCCAAATGGGGAGTATGTTGATAGACCTTGGATTATTTATTCTCAGTCTGCTGATAGAATTTATTGCTTTTATTGTAAGCTTTTTAGTATGAACAAAACCAGTGCATTATCAGCAAGTGGATTCAACAACTGGTCTAATCTTCATACAAGGTTGTATGAGCATGAAAATTCTAAAAACCATTTGGAAGCCACATGGCAATTCTGGGAGTTATACCAAAGACATTATAGTGGACAGACTATTGACAAAGAACGTGAACTAACTATTAATAAACATGCAAAGTACTGGCAGCAAGTATTCAAAAGGCTAGTGGCAATAGTGCAGTTTCTTGCTGAGAGAAATCTAGCGTTAAGAGGGACAGAAGAAAAAGTTGGTAATGAGAGTGTACACAATGGAAACTTTTTAGGTTTAGTGGAGCTGTTTGCAAAGTTTGACTCTGTTCTTGAAGAACATTTACGTAAAGTCAAGGCCAACGAAATTCATAATCACTATTTAGGAAAAGATACTCAGAATGAACTACTAGACATTATGGCTACAGCTGTTTTGAATGAGATACTGAATCGCGTAAAAGCAGCTAAGTACTATGCCATAATTTTAGACTGCACACCTGACTTGAGCCACCAGGAGCAAATGTCTCTAACGATCAGGTATGTTTCTGATGGCAACTTGGCTCCTTCAGGTGTTTATGAACATTTCATACAGTTTATGCAGGTTGAAAGTAGCACAGGAGAAAATTTATATAAAACATTATTAAACACACTAGAGGAATTAAAATTGGATGTGAAAGACATTCGAGGCCAAGGTTATGACAACGGTAGCAATATGAAAGGTCACACATCGGGAGTACAAGCACGGCTGTTGCAGGATAATCCAAGAGCCTTCTTTGTACCCTGCGCATGTCACAATTATAACCTGTTACTAGGAGATGTAGCCAAGTGCTGTCCAGATGCTATAACATTTTTTGGGATCTTGCAAAGGATCTACATAATGTTCTCAGCATCAACAAAGAGGTGGGCAGTTTTTAAGAAACATGTACCTGGGTTATCAGTGAAACCCTTGAGCGACACAAGGTGGGAGTGTCGGATTGATAGTGTTAAAGCTATTCGTTATCAGGTTGGAGAAGTATATGATGCACTTGTGGAAACATCAGAGATAACAGATGAGCCCAAGGTAAAAGCAGAGACAGAAGGTTTAGCAAACCAGCTAAAAGACTATAAATTTTTAGTTTCTTTGATATTTTGGCATGATTTACTTTTTAAAGTTAACTATGTTAGCAAGGAACTACAAGGTAAAACAAAGGACATTGATGAAGGCATGGAGTCATTTGAAAAACTATTATCATGGCTAAGAAAATATAGAGAGAGTGGTTTTAATGATGTCCTAATAGGCGCAAATGATTTGGCTGAAGCTGTTGAATTACCACTAGAATTTAGGAAATTTCAAGATAAACGACTACAAAGAAGGAAGAGAATGTTTTCATATGAGGCAAAAGATCAAGCTTTTGATGATCCAAAAGAAGCATATAGAGTTCAGTGCTTTACCTTAGTGCTAGACAAAGCTATTCAATCTCTAGAATCTAGATTTATGCAGCTTAAAAGCCATATAAAATTATTTGGATTTTTAAATAACTTTCAGGGCTTACAAAAGGCAGAAATAAGGAAACACACAGTAGACCTTGAAGCAGCTTTAATTGACACCAAACTAAAACAGAACACTGATGTAGAGGTAGGTACTGTAACAAGTAAAGATGTAGATGGTTATCTGTTGGCTGAAGAACTTGAAGCTCTGAAAACTTTTCTGCCCACCAGTGTCGCCAAGCCCCAAGCCCTGTTTGAATACCTGGTAGTAAACAATCGATTCACTGCATTTCCTAATGTTTTTGTTGCTTTGAGAATTTACTTAACAATGCCCGTAACAGTCGCATCGGGTGAGAGAAGTTTTTCTAAACTAAAACTGATTAAAACATACTTACGGTCAACAATTTCACAAGAAAGACTAAACAATTTGGCGATGCTATCTATAGAAAGTGACATTACCAAAACCCTTGACTTTAAAATGATTTTGAAAGATTTTGCAAATAAAAAAGCCAGAAAAGTGTGTTTCTAAAAGGTCCGTGCATAAACAGTTTGTCTGTAATTGTCTTAACTTGTAATAAAAAATCAAAACTTTTATACTGTTTTTAAACTTTTAGTATATCAAGTAATTAATGCTTTTTGGCTAAGGCGGGCATACTACACGAAATATAAAACATCAATCTTCGACTTTGTAGAGTAGAGGGCCCCACTATCAATTTTCTAATTGGGCCCCGCAATTCCTAGCACCGGCCCTGTTTGTATATAACCCATATCGACACCATCAGATGCCTCTCACCGTTGAACGAGTTCTCCTTCCTCCTCAAGGAATTCAACGAAGTTTTTCACCCCGAGTCTCTCCACCACCACCAAAGTCGGGAATCTTCCACCACATCGAGACTACAGGACTGTGGGGTGCGGTTGTTTGGTTCACACTCAGGATGGGATGGAGAAAGGAAACTCACAATGTGCTCTCTGTATACATGTTGTATTGGATGTACAGTGCAGCTTGGTGTTGGGAAGGCAGCATGGTTACAAGCGTGATGTAGAGAGAGCTGGTTGGTGAGGGTGCTCAGAGGAGGACAGCTTGTGGGTCGCCATGCTCGCCGGCGGGAGCGAGGGCCGCCAGGCAGCGCGGAGGAGGTGTTGCTTGCTGCGGCTGTAGCTAGAAGAAGGAGAGGTCACCACGAGGTCAGGTCTTAAATAGCGGGGGTTGGCGTGGCTTAGTAGTTGACCTCCGTGATGTATGGCGGCGCTGGTTGACCCAGACCACGAGGCATACACTGGGGAATTCGCGGGGTCGGCTACTCAGCGACAAACAGCGTTTGTAGGGGAAAAATCCACTACAGGACCTCCAGTCTTCTCACGCCCTCGCTGCCTTCGCCCTGAGCTCTTGAACGCAGCCAAGGCGGAATTCAACAGACTCCTGCAAGACGGCATCATTCGACCTTCAAAGAGTTCCTGGGCATCTCTTCACGTGGTTGCAGAGCCACCGTCCAACGACTGGAGGATATGCTGTGACTACAGAGCCTTTAACCTCGTCACCAAACCTGACAGGTACCCAATCCCGCGTGTCCAAGACTTCCACCACAAGCTCCACGGCATGACCATCTTCTCGAAGATCGACTTGGAGCGTGCCTTCCACCAGATTTCAGTGGCATCTGCAGATATCCAGAAGCAGGCCCGTCCTTTAGGGGGGGCGAACAGGGGCGACCGCCCGGGGCCCCCCAGCACTTGACCCAGCGACCTCGGACACATTACCTGTTGACTGGTTATTCTGACCTGACGGCTTACGCCACCATCGCAACCGTGACCTTACCATTCCATCAGCGACAGTCCCATGGGGGTTGGTGGGGCCCCGCAGTGGCTGAGTTGCCCCGGGCCCTGCACCCTCCTGGGGAATGCCCTGTTCAGAAGACTGCCATCACCACTCCGTTCAGTCTTTTCAGCCTTTAGGATGACATGTTCTTTTAATACGTCGTTCTTTAGTAAATAATTATCATTATTACACGCGCACACACGCACAATGGTTGCCCCCTCGTGTAACGAGGATGGCCGGCCCTAGGGCCACCTAGGCGTGAATTTGTTTAAGGTGTAGAAGCTGTCGCCAACACAACAACCACACCCTGATTTAACGAGCTGCATGACCCAGTGTCAAGGAATAGTCCGAGAAGATCGGAGTTCGGCCGAGTCGTCAACTGCACTGGCTAACCATTACCCCGGAATACGATTCGCAAATCGATTAACGTCCAGGTCCCCAATTACTGCTGGGTAGACAGAGTGATTAGCAGAAATGTGGCCAAACGGCTAACGAGCCGATCAGTGGCGAAGAGGATAAAAGTAAAAGTAAAAAGTATACCTGTACATTCGAAATTGTATACATGCAGGGTATTTGTATACGGTACTGTACCTGCGTTGTTTATTACGGATGCTGAACTGTATGCAATACTTGCAGTGTCTATATACATGCCGTATCATTTGTAAATTGTATGACAAATTTAGTGAATAAGTATTACTATCATTATTATTATTATTAACTCTACAGTAGTACACAGTCAACCTGCGTCCTTCACTCGTGGCTATGAAGTCTGTTAGGCAAATAATTTAGAAGATAATTTTACTTTGTCAATTACCTAAGAGGTAACACGTGAAAGCAAAAGCAGGAAAATTTTGTTGATATCGAAATTGTAAGAAGTTTTAATTGAAATAAAGAAAATATGTCAAGACTTTTTATGTGGAAACCGGGTGAAGAGTTGACCTTAGGTAATTAGGCGACAAAAGCAGGTAATTAATTTTCAGGTAAACGTTGCCAGCAAATATACAAAGCAACGAACGTTTACTTGAGCCTATGGAGGAGAGATATCTTTATAGGTTTAGTCGAGATAATGGTGTTTTGTAGAATTATGAAAGCTTAATTAAAACTTCATTGATCATATATGTAAGAAATCTATGTTGTGAGTTGTTTAATCAATAAGTGTTCGCCAGAAAAAGTTGTTGTGGAGGAGTGGCAGCTAACTGAGGCTAGCTGGCAGCCCTGGGTGTAGAGACTAGCAGCTTACCATGGCAGTAGCAGCGGCACTAAGTTGGTCCCGTGTCAGTTTTCGGCGATTATATTTGCAGTACTCCAGAACAGCGGCTATAAATGTAAGACATAGTATCTCTTTTAACCTGTAAATAATAAGGGTAGGCTGTTACACTTTATTTTTTTAACGGATTAGAATGGGGACAGAGGTAGTTCAGGCTCCTAATTTATCCAGTGAAAAAAAAATGCATTACCATATATTAACAGGTGTACAATTTACTTTTACAGTAGTTTGTTGCATTTATTTTATATCAAAAGATGTTACTGTGGAGAACAGTGCAGTATTTTGAGTTAAATGATAAAAGGTAAGGTAAAGGGGGAGGAGACGGTTATCACCAGAAATAACATATGGAATTGAACCAAAATATTTGGTGATATTAGTTGCAATATAATGAACAAGAAAATGGAAGCGAGAATGCACAGGACCTATTACAACGTGACCTAACCTTAACTTAACCTAACCTTAACTAACTTAACCTAACCTAACTGAACCGAATCGGTATTACGGTATTATCATTTAGGTTAGGTTGAAATTAGGTTATTCCGATGGTTGTTGATGTGTTTTGGGTAATTATTGACGACTGACCCACTGGCGATTTAGCAAACGATTACAAAAACGCCGGATTGTCACTTATTTTATAGTTTACACTGTTGTAGTTTGTAGAAATGTGTTAAAAATTTGATATTTTTAAAATAAACGTTACTTAACATTTGTGGGTATGAACAATAGACCTAACCAAACAAACCTACCTAACCTTAAATAGCATTCTTACCAGACTCCTCGGTATACTAAACAGAAAGAACTTACTATGATATGGTGAAATTTTAGGCATTTTCTGGGGGTCCGACTAATTACCCAAATGTAGCCGCAATGAAGTCAAATAATGGTCCTACATGAATAAATCGGACTGCCAATCACTTCTCGACTGGTATTTGGTGTCACGAAGTCACAAAAAATTGGTAAACTTAATTTAATCTGAGTTAATAGATCGAGTGCATGTACCTAACCTAACCTAACACAACGCAGATTAAATTAAGTTTACCAATTTTTTGTGACTTTATGACACCAAATAATAATCGAGAAGTGATTCACAGCCCGATTTACGCTTGTACGACCATCATTTGACTTCATTGCGGCTACATTTGGCTGCATTTAGGTACATTTGGGTAATTACTCGCTCCCTCGGTACATGCACGCGATCTGTTAACTCAGATTAAAGTAAGTTTTCCAATTTTTTGTGACTTTGTGACACCAAATACAAGTCGAGAAGTGATTAGCAGTCCGATTTATTCATGTAGGGCCATTATTTGACTTCATTGCGGCTACATTTGGGTAATTAGTCGGACCGTTTTCTGGATGTGAGATGATGTGGGCGCTAAGGAGCCTAGACGGCGCAGTGATTTACTTTGATGGCGGGAAACGTCAAACCACGGCGTTGAGGAAGTGTTACAGTATCTCACAATATTTCTGTAAAATACTTTTGTAAAAAAAAATCATAAATAAAATCAAAACACTGGGCTGAATCTTGGCATTTTCAAGCCAAGTTCCTTTATATGGAGCTGTAGCCACAACGCTCCAGCCGCTTCCTCTTCTTGTTTATAACTTTCTTATTACATTGAAACACATTTCTTTCCTGTTGGAAAGCACAGGGATTCCCACTGTGTGGACAGTCTTTATGTAAAGGAACAAAGCCGTGGTCTTTAAACAATTGAAGGGTCTCGTTGTCTTTACCCATAAATTCGCAAATTACGTTCATTAAGACTGGCGACAACCTTCACACGACATACTGAAAAACAAACTGACCTTATTTCGAACATTAACGCACTGTTTTCTAGGCCGTAGGTCCACTGAGTCATGCTCTGCTGATCTTGCTCTAGCTATGTAATGATTTATGCTTAGCCATGCCCATGTTTGTGTCATTCTGAGCATACAGTTTCATGATCGTGTCTTGGTGCCTGTTGATATCATGGATTGGTATTTCCAACACAGCTCTTGAGCAAGATTGTTCACTGAAACACCCTTGTCTATCGTATTATGTTCACATAAACTTTGCAACCAGAGGCTAGAGCAAATTTTATCAATGCAGTTGACTGGCTGGTGGAATGAGGTCTGTTAGGTTAATGTAGAACTCTTCATAATTAATTTATTTTTCAATATATTCTGTAATTGCAAGTAATTTTAACAGTTAAATGTTAATCTAGATATTCTAAAGTGATATCCAGAGCTAGGAAAGTAAAAATTATAACATGAAATGCATTGATAATGTAGATATCTTAAAGAGAACAAGTAAAAGTTAAAATCCATCAGCAACACCCACCTACCCAAGCATTTGAACAGTTGTTAATGGCAAGCCCTGCATTTGTTCATTCCCTTGATATCATAATTGTGTCTTACTCATCTAAGTTTACAATACAGTCTACTGTACTGTACTGTTGGGTGGTCCAAAAGTTTAAAATTGTAATTTTCATTTACACACATGTTGCCCTAATACCTTTACCCCAAACATGCCTTCAGGCAAAATTTCAGTACCTTATCTCAATATTCAGGGGTCCCGCATTTCGTAAGCAGTGAGGGTGAACTGCTCTCTGAAGAGAAAGGTCTTAAGGGCATTATGGCCTTTGGCATCCATCTGGCTTGGTGGAAAGCCCCAGGTGCCATGATCTTCACACCTCCCTCTGCAATTTTCCCCAAGAAGGTGTACTGTATGACAAGACAATGAGTTCCTTGTGATCATCCCTGAAGTAAGCTAGAATTTTTATGAGACTAAAATAACTAAACGTTTTGCGGGACCCCTAAACATCATCCAATTTTCTTCAAATTTTATACGAAGCTAGTGTACATGAAGTGCAATGAGGGCACCATGTGCTCGCTTGGTTCAGACAACTTTCAAATTTTCACCCAATAATTTGGACCACCCTAGCGTACTGTACATTACAGTCTACTGTACTATAATCGGTTTATGTACTGCAAGCGATGTCATTATTTGAAAAATATCTTATTACAGTAGTTAACTTTGTCAGTGTTAAATTGCCAACCTCATTTTCATGCTATTTTCAGAGATACTCTACTCATAAGAAGTCTTCAGGTAGAACACAGACCCACTTGACTGTCCAATGGCAACCTTGTAGCATCTGTGAACCAGGAAGTAAATGGATATTATTACTGCAATGTCAAACAAAAAAGTTTCTTCATACAACACCCACAGCTCACAAGCTTGTACCATTCAACCTGGCTGATATTGGTGAAGGCATCCAAGAGGTGGTCATCAAAGAATGGTAATTAACTTGTGGTATTCTACACAGTGATGTAGTCAGTGAGATGCCAGTGTTGTGTGGGAGGTGACTGTAAGTGTGGAAGAAGTTGGCAGTTTGTCAATAGTGCATCAGGCAACTCTGCTGGTTAGGCCTATGTGAGTTTAAATGTCCACCACACAACCTCCTCTGCTGTAAGTTTATTTTATCCTCTTTGCCACTGATTTCAGCTGTGATATATCAAGTACAGTAACCATATTATTAATTTGATTTTCATTACATATTTTTTATGAACAGGTTCATCAATGAGGGCGATACAGTTGCACAGTTTGATAGCATTTGTGAGGTGCAGTCTGATAAGGCGTCCGTCACCATTACTAGCCGCTATGATGGGGTCATCCGCAAGCTGTATTATGAGGTTGATGACACAGCACTTGTTGGCAAACCTCTAGTGGACATTGAGGTGTCCAAGGAAGGTAAGTAAGGATGGTTTCATTCATATTTTTAAGGTTGTTTCATCAGTAGTAATATGTGGAAGCCAAGTGATTACAGCAATTGCCTTCTGTCTTCAAGGTTGCTGGTTTAATCCTGGGGAGCTCCCAGTCCATCCAGATATAAATGGGTAACTAACATCACTAGTTGGGGAAGTGAAGGTGGCCGAGTGCATTGCTGGCCATTCTGCCTTCTTGAGTAATGAAGGTTGAGTTTAATCTGTGCTGTATCCACACTCTCCTTAATTAGCCTGGTACTAATTGAATAAGTATCTATAATTTTATTGACTAATACAAAGTTCGATATCTGTATGAAAACACCTGACGGCTCTGAGGTATTATGTCAGCTCTGCCACCACAGACTACACTCACACTCCACTCGGGATGAAGCCTAAAACTATCCACACTATTTCAAATGTCTATATTTTTTGCTATTCATTTCAGATGTCTCTGTTGGAGCAGAAGTACAAGAGGGAGAAGCTATATCTGTAGGTCGTCCAGTGGAAGGTACAGCCATCGAGTCGGGTAACTTCACACTTCCCAAAGGGAAAATCCTCACAGCACCAGCAGTACGAAGAATTGCTATGGAGTATAAGGTTTGTAGATGAGGAACTGTCTTTTGCATTAATTGTGGAATCAAAATGTGAATGAGAACTCCCATAAGTTTAGGATTATTTTAAAATGTAAAAACTGGGTAGAAGGGGACCTACAATACAATTCAATAAAGTTAGAAGGAATTGAGTGTGAAGAGAATAGGGAAAGAGATGAGAATTTGCCTTGATAAACTTTAAAGACTGAATGCTAAAAGTGTTAGGTTCTGGATAATAAGTTCAATATACAGGAGAGAACACAAACACCTGTATAGTTTTGTAGGTTCGATTTACTGGATGAGAGATATGTACACAAAGGGGAGTAGTGCTTTCCTCAACCTGGCTCCTTGTCAACTGCTATAGACGACGTATGGCAAGTGATACATTAGCAGCTTCCATACGTCGCCAGGCACATTAATTAAGCATGTGGGATATGGTAATAACATTGCCACACGCTGCTAGCTAGGCTGAATAAATAATACATAAATGGAGCACATACATAATATACATACATAATATATAATCCAGCATACATAATATACATACAAAAAGATACAGCAAATAAAGATGCAAAATGCAGTACAGTACTGTAATTTTTTTAGGTACAGTTTATTATTAATTTTTACACACATGGGGCATAAATATGTTACAAATGCAACTCGAGCCTTTTTGTTTGTTTCTTTACATATAGATTGATCTATATGAGGTTCAAGGCACAGGAAAGGATGGCAGGATACTAAAAGAAGACTTGCTGCAGCACCTGGAGAGTAAGAAGACTGGACATAAACCTGCAGTACCTTCAGCCCTGCCTCCTACCATAACTCCATCTGTGTCAAGTAAGAAATACTTTATTATACACTTCTTATGTCCATCAGTATTTGGCCTGTTTAATCCAATAACTTCTTCCTGCATGCCATCATTTATTGCTCCACAGGTACAAGACAATTTAACCGGCAAACTTGGGACTTGAGGGTATCCAGTTTCCTGGATTAACACGAACGCATACCGCAAACACACATACCGGTATGTGGAATCCTGGCTTTATTGTATGACATAAAATTGTGTGTGGTTAACTGAAGCACAATGTGTGGTGGCGGGTTGGAGATCAGCTGCTGAGGAGCGCTTGGTAACACCAGGTGTGTGTTACCACTCCTTTTCACCCCACTTTTTTGCCTTTTCACTCCATATTTTAAAATGCCTGTGTCAACACCTCGGTCTCTTCCGATGGTGTGAAAGATTATGGAAATTTTTTTGTTTCCTTTAATTTGTTCTACGTAAATTGAAATGGAAGACATTTTTTTATTTTTTATTAATTTTTGTTTTTACTTTAGATTTAAAAAAAATCAGCAATCACATTAACATTAAATTGCTTTTCATGTTAATATGAAAGAATGTCCAGTTGGAAAATCCTTCAAATTTAGAAAACTGTCAAGGCTGGGACCCAAGTACCATGAATTAATGAGGTTCATCCCATAAACAACAAAAATTATTTCGAATTAAATCTTTTCCAAGAGCTTTTATGTCTTCTGTTTATCATTTTGAAATATCTGTCTCATGTCTGTATCTTTTAACCAAAGACAGTTTTATAGTTTTTGGCTGTGAGAGATTTAATGAAATAATTGTAGATTGTACAAAGTGCTTGTATTTGTATCCCTAATTTATATAATAATAAGAGGAAGAAAAGATGCGATTAAACTGTAATAGTACATAGAAGTTTTCCTTTATATTTTAAAAACACTGAACTTGAGTGTTATTTACTGAACACAAACTAAGTCATTTTGTGCAGTGTCAGTTGGGAAACTTAAGAGATTTTACTGGATTTACAAGAACAGTGCCAGTAAATCTTAGAATGCTGCCTCTTGGAACATTTTTGTTATAATGCAAATTAATCTGGAGGAATTTTATACTAAAAGCAAAAACAAATACCTCTACCCTGTATTGAAAAAATTAATTCTGAGCATGACCACATTACACACAACACACGCGTATATTCTCTGAGATGGGTTCTCGATGAATGAGTTTACTGCTCAGTCAATCAACACTCGCTTGCCAGTTTTGAATGTTACCTGTTCCGGCTCAATGAGTTTTCTCCCAGGGCACTAACTCTCTAACTTATCTTTGACCCATAATGTTGGGAAAGCAGGCAAGGAAAAGCATCAGTATGAGTGTAATAATGACATCAGCCCATAAGGCATGTGGAGGTGAGTGAATGTCAGGATGATATTGGTCATAGCTGGGTTTGATTGTGTCATTTGAACCTTTGCTAACAGGAACCAAGTTAACTTGTTGAACCAGCATTTTACTTGTTTCTCACCACTGCCATGTAAGAAGAGTAGCATCATGTTAGTAGCAATGGCAGATGGTGGTTTGATGTATGCAAGATGTGATGTAATATGCATTCTTGGTGATTATGTATCTTACTGGATTTTATATGTCTGAAGAAAGAAGTTTCTTTTTATTTATAAAATAATAAACTGTAATACCTTCTTCACGTGTACCATATTATTAATAGTGCAATTACCAATTACCCAGGGTAGCCCTCATACTGGTCATAGGAAAGAACAGTGGTGATGCAAATACATCTCTTTTGGAACCATGTTGTAAAGTTGTTTCTGTGTTACTCCATTTTCTAGGAATGCATCTAGAGCACTATTAAAGGTATGCCAAATTAATTCTAGTGTTGAGGAGTCTTTTTCAACTCCTGAAATATTTGCTGAAAATTTTTTTTGTGCTTGTTAGTAATCACATAACTAAGTGGAGCAGTCTCCACTGGTGTTGTGGGTTGTATGATTCCTAAAGTGTAGTCATCATTTGTACAGGAAAACCAGCATCACCTGCACCAGCAACTGCTCCACGTACTCTACCACCATCCGTGCCAGTTTTCTTGGGAGAGGACAAAAAAGAGGGAATCAAAGGTTTCCAGAAGGCTATGGTTAAGAGCATGTCACATGCCATGGTGAGAAAAATTATCAAAATATCTTTTTATGTTTAGAGTAATACATATTTGTGTATTAAAATTTGTATGTAATAAAGGGTATGTTATTAGTACCGTACTGCACTGTACTGTACCAGAATGAAGGGAGATGAACACACATGAAGCAGCACTGTGCATTTGGCATCACATGGATTACAGGGATGGATGTGATGCTAATGGGTGATGGTAGGTTGTGTTAAATGGTAGGGATAAATGAAAGAGATCATGAAAATTTATTGTGGAGCACCAAATCAGAGACCACTTTTGTTATAGTAGCAATAGTGAGTGAAGGGGGTATGGTTTGGTCTTAATTCCAGCTTCTGTACATTGCAGTGTGAAAGGGCTAAAAGAAGGGGAAAAATTTATTGATACTTTTGGAATTGAAGATGATTTGTATTATTAATTATTATTATTATCATTAATTTATTTATTATTTTTTTTTTTGTCCCTATGATGGACTAGTGGATGTCCATATCAATGTATCCATAATCAAATTAGGCTTACCAACTGCACAGTGGATATTATAAATGCTTTTAATCTAATTGTAACTTCATTCTTCATCTCCAGAAAATCCCCCATTTTGGATACTACGATGAAATTGACATGACTGCCCTGGTTAAACTACGTAAAGAGCTGAGATCATTGGCTGAAGCTCATGGAATTAGTTTTTCATACATGCCGGTGTTCATTAAAGCAGCATCATTGGCTCTCTCACACTTCCCCATCATCAATTCCTCAGTGGATGAAAAGTGTGAAAACTTAACATATAAGGTGAGTTTGCTTGCATCATGAGTCTGTTGTTGAGGTTAGTGTTTTGTTATGATTTATTTTTTTTACATTATATTGAGATTTTTCTTTTATATGTGTTTTTAATTATGTAGCATGCCCTTAAAATTCGCAAATATCATTTGCTGACCATGGGGTGGGGAGATACATTTTTACTCGTGTGCAAAGAAATGCACTTAGCGGCCATTTTCTGCTTGCCTTTGTGTCCGGGATGGCCAGTAATGCATATACAGTATGTACTGATCATAATACTTTTTTCCGATAAATAATTCTTTAAGAATATTTTATTTGCATTATTTTTCATAAAAAGTGCTCGGCAACACGCACGCAGTCATTCGCCTGGCTGTCCGGGATGGCCAGTGATGCATATTTTTCCTATAAATAATATTTTTAGAATATTTTATTTGCATTATTTTTCATAAAGAGTGCTCGGCAACACACACGTACCGGTAGTCTGTTGCCAGGCTGTCTGACTGTCTTTGTGTTTGGTAGAACAAGTAATGCATATAAATAATTATCTGAATAATAATTCCACAAGTAAATATATAATCATAGCATTATTTTCCAGTAATACTACACTATAATACAACTACACTACTTTTAGCAATATTACTTTGATACAACATGATAAAATGGACAAACAAAGAAAATGAAACAAACAAAGGAAGGTACATACATTCAGGAAGCTTCCCTGTGGGCGAGCGTGTGGTGTGACACGCAAATAGTCATGCTGGAACCTGACAACCCGCGCTGGGCATTCAAACAATGCCACAAAAAGGCGCATGTTCCAGAACGTCAACTCGGGCGCCCTAGATGGACGTTCCGGAATGTCAACCAGGGCGTAGCAGTTAAAGAAAAAATGTAACAGAGGTGCTTGCAATGTGTGAACGAATTATCATGACTCCACTTAAGAATTTTTGGATAAACCAATTTTCATATAGTAATGAACACTTGTATAGCAAAGGATAATTTTGATATCATATTCGCCACTTATCAGCTTACTAGCTGTTAGGTGGTCTATCCAGTGTTAGTACCGGAGGAAACCGGGGACCGGGAAACCTGTGGTGTTTGGTAGTGAGGGTCACACTGGATAATACCCTTCTCAGGTGTGTCCGGGCCGAGGCTCAAACCCTTGACATATTGGTGAGTGTAGCAATATTTCCTGTAAGCACATTTTATTACAAAACAATTTATTTATTTTACACACAGGCAAGTCACAACATTGGTTTTGCTATGGACACCAGCGATGGGCTTGTGGTGCCCAATGTCAAGGGTGTGCAGGGACTGACACTACTTGAAGTAGCTGCTGAGCTGAACCGTCTGCAGGACCTGGGAGCACAAGGGGCCCTCAAGACACAAGACATCACTGGTGGCACCTTTACACTCTCCAACATTGGCTCGGTAAGTTATATAGCAATTGTTGTCTCCTGTCAACTGTGGTAGGGGACACAGAAACAGAATCCCTGCTTATGTGTTTATTGATAATAAGTAATAATAATTTGTGGTTTATACTGTACCTGTTTCTGAAAATTGGATACATATGCCAATGCATCTCCCAGCACGCTATTCTATAATACAGTGTGATTCAGCAAAGAATACATTAAATTGGAGGATGAAATCCTTGGATAATTCTAAACCACAATGTCTCTATCGTAAAATGTCAGATTCTGCATATGAATTAAGATATGTTTTTAAAACCACATTTACAGAACCAAGGAACAAAGGCATAGCCAAAACATAGACAATAGTAACCTTACTATACTATCCTACATGAGGATGTATTGTACCAAGTTTGAAAAAATAACAATTTATATTTTCAAATCTTATTCCATTTTAGAAAATTGTTGAACGCATTATAGTGTACTAGCAGTATTTGAGCTAAAAAAGCTTATAATAAAATATTATATTTTAGCTAATTATTGAAGAGTGCAATATAGTAGACTACCAGTATTTTATGAAGAAAAGCTTATAATAAAATAGACAGGGACATTTTCTGGAATTCAATGTTTCAAACAATCAATTTGCACAAGACACTCAAGGTTCTACATTTCAGTTTCACTGGAATGTGCATTGGTATGCTCACACTCTTCCTCCTCTTGTATAGCTTGCTACATCTTCTCAAGATAACTGACCATTGCACTCTGTAGGTTAACTTCATGCAAGTTAGACGTTTCATCACCTTCAGTTTGATACAAGGTATCCTGGTATCCTTGTATCTTGGATCAAGATATGTTGTCACTCTGAAATCTGTCCTCCACTGATGACACTGAACGTACTGCCAAACCCCCAAAATCGAGCATCTGCTGATGCTTTAGTTATAAACATTTGAAGGAACTTGATTTAAGGGATTATCTCTGAAATAGTGCATGATCTTTCACTCAACTGAACAGTGGTCTTGTGGAAAATTTTAATTAGAGTAGAAAGCTTCCCAATCAAGTTCCATTTGTTTGGATCAAACAAACACAGACAGGTTGGGAGCTTCAAGACAGTAGTTTGCAATGGTAATATTTATATTGTTTTTAAATGCGCTCAAACATGAAATACATGCTGTTCCAACGAATGGGGATTCTTGTACTGTATTAATATTGTACATTGAACAAAGATAGAATACATTTATTGACCCAAAATATTTAATATTGTACGTATATGTTAGAGAAAATACTACTGCTAGTTGTATTACAGGGCTGTTCACTCCTGGTAAGATCTACCATATGTGTATTAATAGAAATATATAGTTTGGACTGCCAGAGACGAAAATTGAGGAACTAAAATTAAGAAAGTATCGACAGTATTGGCTGAAAATTGTTCAATACCAATGCATTGGTACATTCCCTAGTATGTAGAAAAATAGAATACATTTAGAAAAATATTGTTTAGATAAGTCTTCAGTAAGGTGTAATTTTTTATTTTTTTTTTTTCCAGATTGGAGGCACATATGCCAAGCCGGTGATCCTACCCCCGGAAGTTGCCATTGGTGCTATTGGCAAAATTCAAGTAGGTTTTTCACAACAATTTATTTAGCGTTATCATTTTTATTCTTTTTTTAATAACTGAAGAATCTCCACCAGAGCTTATTTCACCTAAAGATTGACCACCCTAATGTTAACCGAACCAGTATTAAGGTGATTAATCTTTGGGTGAAATAAGCAGAAGTATGTTATTTAAAATTATGACTTTTTCACAGGGAAAAGTCTGTACCTCCAGTGGTCAGGATATTATGGTATCCAATGTTCCAGAGTATTTCAAATATATTCTTTGTTTAGTTCTGTACGTAGCGACTGGTAGAAACTGACCACACACCCCTAAAAAGATTGTCTACCTCTGTCATTCTTAGTGGGCAAAATATTGTTTATTTGTTATATATTAACTAGTAAAGGTACTCCACTAGTTACATCACCCCAATCAGATTTAGTTTCATTAATGCTGACTCTTTGTTTAGAATATCTCCTCCAATTCCATGTGCTTCCACTTTTTGTATTAATCTTTCATGGGTGACCTTGTTGAAGGCTTTGCTGAAGTTGAGGTAAACCACACAATAATCGTGCCCGTCATCCACTGACATGACTACCCACTTATTAAGTCATGCTGGGAATCATTAATCAATTTGTGTTTCTCGAGGTAATTTCGAATTGAGTTTGAAATTATTGCTTCCAGTAATTTACCTACAATTGATGTTAAACTAATTGGACCATAGTTATAGGATAGTGATCCATCTCCCTTCTTGAAAATCAGTATCACATTCGCTATTCTCCAGGATTCTTGTACTACTGTACTACACTGGTTTTTAATGAAATGTTAAACAAGTTTGTTAAGGGCATACTTAGCTCTTCCTTACATTCTTTGAATACTCTGGCAAATATCTCCTCGGGACCTAGCTCAGCTAATGATAGTCAACAAAACCATCAGATTCTTATGTAATTACAGTTTAATTACTAATTACTCACACTCCACTAGTTTCTACTGTACTGTATTCACTGATGATCTTAATCATCAGAGGATTCTCTCTAGGAAATATTTTTTTGCATGAAGTTAATGTTGTGCCTTTCAAAATAGTTCTTGTTGGAGATTTTTTTGTGATCATTAAAAACATAGATGGTCATAAAAAGCCTTGTTTTTTCCTCTTGCAGGTATTGCCAAGATTTGATGCCACAGGTAATGTAACCAAAGCACACATAATGCAGATTAGCTGGTCAGCTGATCATCGCATTATTGATGGAGCCACAATGGCACGTTTCTCTAATTTGTGGAAATCATTCCTTGAAAATCCAGCAACAATGATTATGAATATGAAATGATGAGGTTGAATGTGCTCGACATTTTTAATGGACTTATGTAACCACAGACTTTGATACTTAAAAGGGTTATTATTACAGTACAGACCCTCATTACTATGATTTAATTACCTAAAACTGCTAGGGTCACTAGACCACATGTAAGGGAGCAATGTATTCTTGAAGCAACATAGAGCAAATTAAAGAGATTACAACCACCGTTGGTTCTTATGCCCATTGAGTTCTTTTTTGCAAGGACTGACCACCTGATGAATATGCAAACTTTTTCCAATCCCCCTGTCTCCTAATGGAATTTGGGCAATAAAATGGACCTGGGTTACCTCTATGAATTAAAGCTTTCTGCAAAATTCATTGAGGTTCATCTCCTTCTGCCAGAGTTATTTTTTATCTAAAATACACATTTATCCACAACTTAATTGCAGTTACCCAAATTACCTTCTAAAAAGAAGAGAGAGAAATAAGTGAGTTGCTAACTGTATAAAGCATTGTGACTTACTGTGTTTGACCATAGCCTTTCATACTTAGTGAGGTAACTCATAAATATGAAAGGCTATTGTCAAACACAATACTGTACTGTATTGTATTGTATACAGGTAACAACTCTTTTTCAGGATTACAGAATGTATTACTGTTATAGATTAATTTTGATTGGAGAAAATTAAGACAAGGGGTGGCATACATTCTGCTGTATTGTTCATTGTGAAATTTTTTTGGCCCAATACAGTATTATTAAATAAAAAGTTTATTTTAACTTGAAGTTTGATGAAAAAAAAGTTTTCCTAATTTTGCATAGATTTGTTTCGGCTTGCATATTATGTGTTGATCAGTGTGTTCTTGAAATTGATATTTCATGTAATATGGTTTGACATAAGTTTGTTCTTGCTAAAATGGTTCAACCAGTATTAGGTAGCTATACCGTAGTTCCTAAAATAGCCCTTTAGATTTAATTCTCGGTCATGGTACAGTCTCACCCAAAAGTTGGTTAACTCTTCCAGCCAGCTATTGCTGCACTGCCTGCTTCAGATGTATGAACTTGAGTCTGTTACTTCAAACCTTTAGATTCATCCGTTTCGGTTTCATGTTCTGGTTGGTACGGAGACAGTTTCAAACATCTGAAGCAGGCAGTGCAGCAATAGCTGGCTGGGAGTGTTAACGAACTTTTGGGTGAGACTGTACTACAATAGTGGGAATGACTACCAATTGTCCGGTTGGAAGGTGATGCCTGGTGTTGTGGTCAGTGGAGTAGATAATCATTCCTCTGACTATTTATAGACATCCTTTGATATCCAGTTCCCTCTAAGGGTGTGGACTTATGTATGCTCTTCCACAAAATTTTCATGCAATTGTGTTGTTAAAGATTCTTGAATTGAGGAATTCTGTTTGATCATCTGGCTCTCATTTAAGTTAAAAACATGCCATTGATAAGCATTAAGGATAAATGCATGGTAAGTGTTGTTTAGTCAAGAAGTACAAGTGAGAAAGTAATTAAAGATAGAAAAATGTTGAAGGGTTATTCTAGTATTGGCAAGTTTTATATCAGGGAAATTAGACATATAGTATGTCAACCATGAGGTTAATAAATTTCTTGAAATATGTAAAGTCAACATTCGAATTATGTTTGTCAATTTTATTAATACAATGTCTATTTTTCATCTGTATCCAGAATTTTGGGACAGCTTTATAACAGCTAGTGTACAGGAGGAAATCTAGTCCTTTCTTGCTGGGGATTAAACATGGAACCATTCACTTGTGAGTTGAACATTTACCTCCAAGTTTAACTTTAAATTGGCTGAACACATCAATCCCTGTTGCCAACTTCAGGTCTCTCAGTGATTTTGAATCTTCTCTGTTTATTTAATAAGATTATTGGTTTTAGTGTCTTTGAGGTTAACTCTTTATCTCCCAGTAAGTGAATGTGGATAGATTTAAGTGCAGTATACTTAATGACAGCTAATTTTGTGTCAAAGCCTCCAACTTGCTGCATTATATAAAGATTTTTCTTATTTATTGGAAAAATTTAATAAATGTGATTGGGTAGTAGGTGATAGGCATTTAATTTATATCAAGGGTTTCTACCAATAAGAATACAGTAGTGAAATCCTTGACCATACCACAGCACAGTCCAAGGGGTCATAACACTGCACAGTAATGACAGAAAATACTGTTTTTGTCAAGCTTGTCTATGGCTCATGATTATGATATACAGTATCTACATGCAGATTTGGTTAAAATGCATTATATTTTGTGTGAAGTCTGATAAATTAAACACTCGGATAAAGCTATTAGTGTTTTTTAGCTAATTATCTGTTTTGTGGGATGACAACTCCCAGGTTAGAAGGGTCAGCATTGTTTGAGGCCTTGATATAGTGTCAGTGTGACTTGCTCACTGACAACCATCAGATGAGAAAGTTTAGTTGGGGTTCTTGACATGGCTATGTGACAGCTATCAAATGGGAAAAGTCTGTGTCTGCCTCTTTGCTCGTCAGAGGCAACTGTTTGTCTATCTCTTCCCGGTTGTAGGTCTTACTTGTATCTCTTAGGCAGGTCTTCAGAAATATTGGTAATGATCCAGAGAGGCCTGCCTCTTATATGTTTATCATAATTACCGTATGTTACAATTTCTGTTACAATTGCTAGAAAGTTCTGTAGTAATTCATTATAACATCAGATTTAGTGGTAAAACTTTAAAATTTTATGATACAAGATTATCACCATATGACTGGTCGTGAGTCTGTTCTTGCTACGTGTTTATGGTATTCTGTACAGTACTTAGTTACATAATTTTGGTCATATTTTGGGTTTTGTGATTAATTCTAGGAAAGTATTGTTGTATAGTGTATAGATTACAGTTAAGCCTTAGTATGAATTGTAGTTTAGGTAATATTAATTGAATAAGAACTAGTGATGATGATCGCAACTGTAATCTTGTCTTGTACAGTATAGGGTAAGAAGCAAGATATTTCAAGAATATATATTACTTATAACATACCAATTCTTTGCTGGTGTATTATACAATACTTACTTTGTAAATAGCATCATTCCTTCTGCATCTCCTGATCCCATGATTTTTTATTCTTAAAATTTTATTTTGAGAAGTAATGTGATTGCCATACTTTTTTTATTGCCCTGTAACAAAGAAATTATTTTTTTAGATGTAATATACAGTACTACAGTACGGATACTAGTCATGACATGACTTGATATACCCTGTATATATAATAATAATTTTTAATTGCACTGAATGAACAATGGGATTTTTTCCACCAATATTACAGCAGTATACACGTATATACTCCACAACAATGTACATAGGTGTTTTCCTGCTTAAAATGGAGCAACTGTTGATTATGCAAAGTATTTGTACAATATGCCCTTAAAATTTGCGGGAGTTTGTTTCTTAAAATGGCTGCAAATATCATTTGCTGACTGCGGGGGTTCATTTTTACTCATGTACAAAGATATGTATATTCCCTTTATGTGTTTGCTCTTAGGACAATTATTTCTTTTACCTGTATTGTATATTTGTGTGTGTAGACATGCACACAAATAAATAATAATGGGAAAATCCTCTCACAAATAATCAGAAACAAGACCGTAAAATGTATCGAAATGTAGAAAAAAATGTGTGAATCTACCCTCAAGTCAACTCCGTGCTTTGTTATTAAAGTTGAGTTAATTTTATTAACAAAGCACAGAGTTGACCTGAGGGTAGACTCTCACATTTTTTCTACATTTTGTTGTCTTGTTTCTGGTTATTTGTGAAAGGATTTTCTCATTATTATTTGTGTGCGTGCGTAGGTAAAAGAAATTACTGTCTCTAGAACAAATGGCTTCCTGTCCCAGCCACGAAAATGTTTACAACTTTAAAACTACCCGCAGACATTCTTGGTGTACATCCAGCGTGTCATCTGTGAATAATCAAGTTCCGCGAATTGTCAGGGCATGCTGTAGTATATGCAAAGAATTGGGATAGAGGCTATGTTAGACAAATAACTAAACATTGTGTTTGAACCTTTCCTCTTTTGGGAAGGTGATAACATGGTATCCATGCATGTTTGTCAAATGTGACCAGGGTTTGATTCTTCCTTGGGCTGTGTAGTTATTATATACAACAAATCACTGATTTATGTTGAGTCTATTTGTGTTGGTTTTATAGAATGGTGTTAACAAATTAAGGAACGGTATTCTCTATAAATCTCACTAAAGTGACAAAGTCGTTTAATTCCTGTGCTAAGTGTGCCAGCTTTGCCCGCCCACTTATCAGTGTAGAAGTTACAAAATTGCCTGTTTTCATTGGACATGATGTACAGTTTTCCTTTGTTTGGTTTAATCTCACATGTTTTGTTTCATGGTCAAAGTCGAATGCTTTTTCATGTGTTTACTGAAAAGTATTTTTGGACCAAACTTTCAAAAACCCTTAACCATGAGTAAAGAACATATTGCAAGTGCTCCAGCCAAGAAATCCTGTCAAGCCATCTTTTTTAATTTGATGTTGGACTTTCTTAGTCATGTGGAGTGGGTTGAGCATTGAATGGACAGAGTTCATGCATACTCTTGGTAAGTGGCCTACCACAGTCAGAGCCATAGTATGAAACATTGAAAACTAAAGGTAAGTGTGCAGAATTTGACCCAGGAAGTGCAGTATGCACTATGAGGAGAATATGAGTTGGAAGACCAAAATCTGCAAAATATAGTTCCTCCACTCCACACCTACACCATATCCTGACAAGCAAGCTTGATCCTATATTTTGGTGAGTAACCAGCAATTGGGTTCATTAAATTGTTTATTTATTTTCATATTTTGTTCATGTTATGCGATGATGTGTTTAATTTTTGTCTAATGTGTAAATCAGTTAAGTTTGAATCAGGGTATATTGACTGATTATAACAGGAGATTCTATGGTAAAAGTGTCTGATTAATGTTGCTTCAACAACGATGCAATTCTCAGGAATGTATTCACAATGTAAATCAGTGATTTGTTGTGCTCACAATATAATTTTTTTTTTTCTGCTCAAGTTTTTTCCTGTTGTACTGCAAAGTTTAGCAGCTATAGGTTACCCTTCCTCTTGGGAGGATGCCAGTCCATAGAAGGGTGAGTGCACCCAACAGTGTACTCATCTATTGGGGAGTGTGCAAGGGCTAAGTATGAGCATAATGAGGAAAGAGTCCTTCACTCTGGCTAGGAATCAAAGTTAACAACCCTTTGCCTGTGAAGCAAATGCTATGTATGAGTATATGAATACACACAGTGTAACAACTTAATGCAATATAATTGTAATATTTCCATTTGAATTTCATTCAAAAGAGTGTATACCTAGTATAGATTATACTTCTTGTAAGTTTGATAGAGACTGTAAATAAATTGTTTTAGTACTGTTTGTTTTGTATTCCTATTATTGTTTATTTTACAAAAATGCTAAAGGTAAGGCAAATTGTGGATAGAAAGAAGAATGTACACCAATTCCCCCATTAACGTCCTTGTTAGGTTCCTGAAAACTACGACGTTAAGTGAAAACTGTTTTACCAGAGACACACTGATGTAAATAGGGGTTATGTTCCTAGCTTTTACTTCAAATGGGGAAGGGGGGGGGGGCCTAATTGTGGTGTATAAACATCTCAAAGGGCACTGCTCAGTTGAGTGTCCTTACCTGGAGCTGGCGGACGCTCGCCCCCACAAGGGGTCATAGCTCAAGGTTGAAGATGCCACAAGTCCAGAAAACTGTGAGGGGTAACTTTTTCAGTGTGTGCTAGAGAGTATTATGATGGCACTGAGTGTGAGCTCTTTCAAGACCAGACTTGATAAGCACTGGAGCAGGTTCAGATACATTCAGGAGCCAATGCATGCCCAGTACTTGCCAGCAGTGTGTGACCGATCGCCCAAGCGGCTAACAAGCTGATCAATGGCAAAGAGAATAACTCTGGAGTTTTAAACACCCTCTTCCGTTGAAGAGGGTTATCGTGTTTCAACCGAGTTTTAAAAAAATGAGTCGTGAAGGACACCGCAGTACGTACAGTACTTGACGGGGTGGTGTGGAGGTAAAATTAACGAATTTCAATATTATAAATTAATTTTCTTGGAATTAGTTAATTTTACCGCCACACCTCTGTAAAGTACTGTACTGCGATGTCCTTCAGGACTCATTTTTTTAAAACTCGGGTTGAAACACGAGAACCCTCTTCAACAGAAGAAGGTGTTTAAAACTCCAGGCGTAAAAGTCTAAAGTATCTGACAATTTAGGGCATTTTAAGATGCATGGAATAGCTAACGAGCCGATCAGTGGTGAAGAGGCTAAAGTAAGTTAAATGCCTCCAACTCTTTAATATTAATGAAAATATTCTCCATAATCGGCCATGATCCGCTTATTTTCTCCGGGAGAAATCGCTGATTGGTTGCTACCTATTTGTGCCGCTTGGGCCCTGCAACGGGTTAACACCTGCTCGAGGTGTTAACTAAAGTGTCATGCACACAAATCAAAAGCAGCATCGGGGCACACAGAACAGCTAACGCGTTAGTTATTCTGTGCACCTTACAATAACCACCTTTAGTAAAGCAAAGAAAATTACGGTATATTAAATAAAAAATTAATAGAGAAATCATTGAAAATTTATTTAGAAATCTCCGAAATCTACTTATATACCTATAGAAAAAAATGCTGCGTCATTATGTAAAAATATTAGTGCCAGGTATTTAAACTTCCCGCTTTATATTTACCTCATTTAATTTTGCAGATATAAAAAACATGGCATAATTATTTGAAATAATTTTGTTTTATGGCATACGATATTTTACATTGCAATTTTTTCAAAAGTAAGTTCTCATTGGAGTTTGTGCTTTAGCTAATACTGTATACGAATTATACCCTACAGCACGGCCGCACGGGTACAGCCACGGCCATCTTAACAGCAGGAGAGCAGCAGACGTATAAACTTCAAGATGAATACAGCTCGCGTGAGTACTTTTCTCGCTCTAGTTGTATTTCGTATTATTAGACAGGTCTACTAGATATTTAAGTATTATATATCCCCGAAAAAAAGCCTAGGAGTGGGAAAGATGAGAATAATGGCTGTCCAGCCTCGCTCTAGTGACGGTGATGCAATCCGTTCACGGGTCAGCTGATGGAGCTCTGTGTTGGGTGCCGAGAATACTTGGATGCTTTATACTGTAGTCCAGCACAAGATCAAACTTGTAAACACAAGTTTGATCAAAAGATATTCAAAGATCTTCGGAATATTAGGTGTGCAGGGGTGACCATAGATGCCTCTGATCAATCGGGTCCACTGGTGCATTGCGGCCATATCTCACGTCCAGAAGTGCCTCAAATTTCACCATATCATAGTAAATTCTGTTTATTATACCGGGGAAGTTAGGTAAGGTTAGGTAGGTAGGTCTGGTTGGTTAGGTCCGTTTTTCATACCCACATATGTTAAGTAACGTTAATTTTTAAAATATCAAATTTTTAACATTATTTCCACAGACTACAACAGTGTCCTCTGTAATATACTGTAACAGTGAAAATCCGGTGTTCTCATAATTTGTTTTCACTCAGTATCGCTCACTGGATCGTCCTAAATAATTACCATAACAGTCGGCCGTGTGTATTGGCTGAAACTGCAATAATACCAAATTGTCGTTGCGGTCATCCATCGATATTTAGGATTTTAAGTTTTGGAATCGGTAGTTTAGATAATTCTAAGACACTGTTCTTCAATGGCATTTCTTCCGATCATGATTACTTTAAGAGAAAATCACACACAAAAAGAAGAAAAATCGTCGTATATTTACTAAGTCTAGCAAGAGACTTGTTGCAGTCCAGTAGTTAGTGTAAAACGAAAATAAACTAATACCCACCATCAAACTGTTTCTTCTTGTTTATTTTAGTAGTTACAGAATACTGCACTGTGTTGAGTTAGTGGATATCATATTCATAGGTTATCATTTCTTTCACTCTTTTGTTTTATTATATTGTATTATCTTTAGGATTATTCTACTTCCTAATAATTTTAATTATAGGTTCCTTATTTTCCTACAGTCTCCCATCATTATTAGTCTTGACAATATTTATGGGCAGTTTAAAAAAACAAAAAACATGACAGTCTTGTACAGTACAGTAAACCCTTGTTATTCATGGGGGATGGGTGCCAAGAAATGGCATGAATAGGCAAAACTGCGAATAGCAACTTAATACTACCTTAGTGCACTACTGTATACCCATACCAAACAACCAACCAGCCGTGGCACCAGTCATCCCCTCTTTTAACTTATCTAATAATTCAACTTTCTTTGTCAGGGTCATCACTGACTTCTGCCTTTTACATTTCACTCCACTAGCATCACTAGCACTAGGCAGTCTTTTAGGGGCCATTTCACACAGAAACACTAAAGTTTTGAGAGTACAGCACGAGATGCTGCGTGGGGTGACTCGTGCTGTGGGAAAAAGCTTGCAAGCTAGCTACCATCTGCTTACTGCGAATTGTTGAAATCGCGAATCACAAACCCAAAACTGGGAAGGGTCTACTGTACTGTATGGTTTTATAATTTATCCACCATTATAAATCAAAAGATCTCTCAAGTGGTAATTGTAAACAATTAAGTTCAAGGGACAATATATTTTATTTAGGATTACCTGTACTGTATATAACTTTTCATTAAACATGTTAATGCTCAGTTAGCCCATCAGAATTTCAAACGTCCTCGGCAGACGCCTCCACTGAGTTGATAACACAAGAAGGTTGCAGGTTAGTATGAACCTCTCCTATGGAAGTTGGTTACCGCTCATAATCCCTGCTTCATTGTATAAAATTGCTGGGCAAGGGAGAGTTTGTCTTTATGAGTGAGTCATGTCATTCTGTGACCAAGTACCACAGAGTGTTAAAACAGCATAAAGCTCTTCATATGACAGCATGTCGCCAATTTATGTCTGTTTATAGATCTAATTTTGATAAAAAATTAACAAATTAGGGAACAATTTTCTGAATACAGTAAGTCTTGCCTGTCCAATATAATGTAGTTTTTGCCACTGTGGTCCTAAAAGATTCAAACCACGTATAAGGAACAATGGCATGTGGCACTGTTACCAACAGCAAAGCAGCAACAAACCTGCTTCAGGCACAGAGCTTTAAATAATATTCACTGTGATAATTTTTGCACTCGTCTTTCAAATTACAGTACTGTACCTTAATCATGAGTGGAAAATGCTCTGAAAATACTGTACTACAATTACACCTGCCAAGATGTATGCAGTCTTGGTTTAATTTTGGTGAGTACTGTATGTACCAGTGTCTTGCCTGTGTTTATTACAGTACTGTACTGTAATTGTCTTCTTATTTCATGTTTTTTTTCTTATATCTACTTAATTGAGGTTGAGTGCCCAGAAATTTTACCCAATAACAACGTTGTTTGGAAAAAAGTGTCCTATTTGTGGTACTTCAGTCCTTTTTATAGTTTCTAGGAACATCCCTGATGTAAATTGGTGACTGTATTGTTATAAATTAAAACTGGAATTTAGGCTGCGTATGTTAAATCTATAAGTCTTGTAGACACTATTAAGTAGAATAGATATTTTTTATATTGTTTGGGCCCCCCATAAAAGATGGAGGGTAGGGCTCATTATATACAGTATGTGCTGTTTTGATAACTCAAACACAGGTTTGTGGTTACAATTCTTGAGTCTTGTATTTTTACAATGTAAACATTGTCCCCAGGACAATGATGAAAACACAGGACTTCACTGATATGTATTGAAATAGTTTGTGGACTAATTGGCAACCCAATTCGTTGTACATATATAAATATGTATAATTGTGTGTATTGACATGCATTGTCTTATATTTTTCCTGTTGGTATTTTATATTAAAAACTAAAAAATATATATACTGTATATCTAAATTGAATCCTTAAAAAATAAAAAAAAAATAAAAAAGGCATTTGAGAGTCCAGACAAAGTGTGGACCATACTGTTAACCATGACTCATTTGTGAAGGTGATTTTTGCATTGGTGGCTTTGAGCTTTGACCAGTGTCCGTGTGAGTGTTCGGTGCTTTCACCATTTGCTGATAATGCCAAAACCCAATTCATTGATTATACTGCATTTGCATACACTGTACTGTACCTTTAATGTACCAAGAATTATTTTACTTTGAAACCGTTTATAACGAACTTGGATACAAGTAGCTATTATATTACGGAGCACTGTATTCTCAGTGTTTACCGCCCTCATTTAGTGATAATTTTGCTTAACATTAGGTTTTCAGGAATGCAACCCTATTGTTAAACAAGGGATACCTGTATACCATAGCTCTCAGGTCATTGAGTGACATGTGAGATACCTCCACCAGAACTCCCCTGTCAATGCCTGCCATGATCAGGGGACTTGGCTTATACTGTACTGGTAGCTGTATTCATTGTCTAGTAAAGCACTGTAATAATGCTGCAACAATCCTTTTCACCAAATAAATTAGGACTGGGGGTGAAAATATAATAATAATAAAAATTGTAGAAATAGATAAAATTTTAATAAAAAAATAAAAATGATATACCCCCCTGTATTAATAATAATAATAATGTAACCATGAATAAATACAAAAATGTATGTATGTTGCATTGTCAGTAGTAAGAGAAATAATTGAAAGTCAGATGAGCAACCTGGGACTTGGTCACAATTTTAGTGATGCCATATGGCAGCAGAGTCTACCATTAGACAACATATTATGCTTCCAATATATTCCCAGGCAGTAGTACCTCCCTGTTTGATAGCTGCCTACTACCTACTTGCTGGGGATCCATCAACTATAAATGAAAGATTGAAGACAAGTAGCCTGGTTCCCATTCCTTTAAGGCAGTAGGATTTGTAAATGTTGAATCATGTGTCTCATGTACAGTATAGTAGTGATTCAGGTTACGAGGTTAATCTATCTTAAGAATTTAGTGTGGTGAATCTACAGGCTTACTGGCTCAAAGCAGTCATCTAGATAAGAGATTTAATACATTGCTTCAGTCATTGACTACTGAGTGAGGAGTTTTAAAGAATACTAGAACAGTGTGATGGTGTGCTGAGCTGTGTAGCCTGCCCATGCCAATCCCCTCTGACTATAGTAGGCACTTCAGGGGAGTTCAAGTGGAGGTATCTGACAAGTCAATTGTCATCTCCCTTTAGTTAAACAGTATCTTTCTTAAGCCCTCCATTTTTTATATTGTATTATATTACCATAGCTCTTAGTGTTTCATTTATTTTTGCAAATTTATATTTTATTTAATACAATTATTTAAGTAATATCAGTTAATACACAGGAACATTAATGCCATGATTGGATGTTTTGGCATTTATTGGCAAGGCACAAGTGTTGAAGCTTCTGGGGCTACTAATTGATTGACCTTTCATGTCTTTTACTGTAGTGTATATATATAGAACAGTTCCTTACCCAAGATGTTACAGTACTAATATAAGTGTGGTGAAAGATGGTTTTGATGTCCCCATCTAGGAACTATAGTGTGACTTTTATCCTCCATACAGTAGGGGACATAGACTAATTTATAGATCAACTATTTACAGTATGAGATTACATCAATTAATAGGTCAGCTATTTACAGTATGTTTCAGTACAGTACCATACTTTTTGTGAGATTAAATTTGTTATTCTTGTGATGGTTGAGTTGTATTTTTGAAGCCAAGTTCTACAACTGTACATTACATTACATTTGTTGAATTATGGTGCTCAGTCATACAGACTAGTTTTGTTCTTTTGTTAAGCTTCAATGTTATTAATTTTATAAAGATACCGTACTGTATATGTTTTTAACATAACAGTATGGGAGGCTCTGACTTTCTGAAGGTTATGCCACATTTTAATCTTGTACTTTTTTATCAGACTCTAGTCCGAACCTTTGCAACTGGCTCAGCACGCAGGGCAGTTAAAACTGAGACCCACCCGGGATACCAGAAGATGCGTACCAAGATGTTTGATTACCAAGTGAGTAAACCCCCCCCCCCCCTTTTTCCCACAAAGTAATCGGTATACAGGTACTTATGCAGACAATTTACTTACTTGTAGAAGTTAATGATCTAGTATGTGAGGAAAAAGTCAAGCAGGTTGTAATTTTAATTGTGCCAAAATTTAGTTTAAACACTGGACTCACTGATTCATAATGTGCATTTCCATTTTGTTACTTAGGTAGAATTAGAGGAGCATTATTGTGTAGGGAATGTGTAACAGCCAAGTGGGTACTGTGCTTATTGCTTCCTGCCATAAGGGTTAAAATTTTAAATCTCGGGCTCTCTTTGTCCATCCATTAGTAAATGGATGCAGTACCTAACTTTACTAAATTAGGGAAGTGAAAGGACAGGTATTTCATATTTAGCATAAATTAACTTAACGTTAATTTCCTTTAGTGAATTTTTTTTTTACACCCTTTCTCTCAACATTAGATTAAAATTCAGTTTAGTGATGTTTAACTCACTGGGAAAGGGAAAAAACTGGGGATTCTCTGCTCCAATTGTGCATCTCTACTCTAGTCATGTATCTGAGAGTATACAGTACTTTGAATTCTTTTGGAAAGCTGACATTTTGATAAAGCATCGTGAAAGTTGTGAAGTACTGGTGGCATTGAGCATCCCGTCTCGGCCACACATCGACTGGTGTGATACATGCAAACTTGAGCTCTGGCCAGTCTGACTAGTGGACTTGCTCCCCCAGGCTGGAGTGGAGTTGCCATTTGTGATGTATTGTTAGAAAAAAAAATTGATATAATTTGCTTTCTTAACATCCCTCGTTTAGGAATAATTTCACAATGTTAGGTTTTCTGGAACCTAATTCCATCGTAGAATGAGGGATACCTGTAGTTGAATGCAATGATGGTCATGCTGCCTTGCATTCAGAAGGCCTATGTACTGTATCCACATTGTCCGTAATGGGCAGTCATGCCTATGGGGCCCACTTTCATTATAGGAATTGTCATTCATGTTTGGGCTTAAACTTAATCTAATCTAATCTTTTTGGTTACTATTTTGTTCTACAAAATTTGCTGTTCTTAAATATATGTAGGGGAATTGATATTGTGATTAAAACAGATAAATTTTTATGGTAAGACTCCAGCTGTTGGAGATGTCTAGATATTTTATAAGATTATAACTTAGATAAAGCAACTCTACGTTCAAAAAGCTTATGGGTCAAAATCCCAGGGCCCTGAATTGTGTGATTGGATTTTACACTTAAATAGATTAAAAATTAAGAATAGTCATCCGCTTCATACCAGGTTCTCTAAAGATAACTGCATGGTGAGGTGGTCTCCAAAAGCATGAGAAACCTTGAATTGTTTTGTTACCGAGTACTACCCAGACAAAATAGCAGAGGAAATGTACTGTGCCGTACAGCTGTCTCACCTTTTTAGCCTTACAGCTAGATTTTACATAATGAACCTGTATTATTCTTTTGTGGACTGTCACCACTATTTATAGTATAACATTGTCTGAAAAATTGAGTTCCAAGTTTGTTTTTTTTTTTTTTTTTTTTTTTTTTAGTTCTATTGTATTTAGTTTGGTTGTATATGATTGCAAGAGTTTACTGTTAAATGTTGTTTGTATTATGAACCAACAGAAGCAAAGTAAATTTTTTAGTTGATTACTATGCCTAATTGATAAAAAAAATAAAAAAATTTATTCAGTGCTATTTTGGTCTGTGAAGCAGTTTGGAATATCTTTTTTTTTCTCTTTCAGATTGACAATGGAGTGCCAATCCACCTTAAGGGAGGTGTAGCAGACAATATGCTCTTTCTCAGTACCTTGATTCTCAATGGTATTGGATTTGGCATGTGCTTGCATTTCTTCTATGGCATGGCATTCCCTAAGAAGGCAACCTAGTGAGACTCACTCACTGGTAATGTGCATTCATTCCTCATTCCTTAACTTTGTAATAGCATTACTATGGGTATTCAATGCCAGCTCATTATTTAATGGTTTAGTGTCTGTACATAGAAATAATTTAATTGAAGACCATCAGTTTATTTAGTGAAAATGTATATTTCCGTCTAATAAATTATAATGAACAAAGATTCTTTTCTTTATTTTTGCATCCTTCATAGTTCTTAAGTGACTAAAATGCAAAATCGATTTAGACTGCGCTAGAGTATCAATAATTAGTTCAATACTTTCTCATGGTTGAGATTAGTTTGTTTCTGCCATATTTTAAGAGTTTATGGTGCCCAGGTAATAAACCAGTTGAAGTTGGTTTGGCATGGATTTTGCAGGTGTTTATAAATAATCCTGAACCATTTCCACTGTCCCAGTCTGCCTGATCCTCCTGTAGATGAGGATTTTATGATGTGTTCCATGTTGACAGCTTGAGTGTATTGTCTGATTCCATGCACTCTCCATCAGGCTTACTCATATGTCCAGTGAGTTCTCCGGCCATTCGAGCTTTCAAATATTCTTGTAATCACTTCATGATGAGTTTTGGTGGGATAACAAGATACCAGATAGCATCTTCAGCTCATTTTGCAGTAGCTGTTGATCATTCCGACACATCTTGAAGGATGTTGTGGTGGACTTACTTCATATTTGCTGCAGATATTGTCAAATTCATTATCTCATACATCTCATAAGCATGTCACTGGCCTTGGACACCTTTCTGGGTCTCCCTGGAGATGATTGCTAAGGTGAAACATAATTGGCAGGAAAATTGCATACCATGCACTTCAGTCCTAATTGTAGCTGTGCCTCATCTTAGATTTCCCTCAGAGAAACATTTACCCAACAAGGCAAGAATATGAGGATTTTCCTCACCAAACATATGCTTGGGAACCATAGTAATGACTGTTCTGAGAAAACTTGGACCAGTATGGCAGTGTGTACAGTACATATTGTGATCAGAATATGGTAGAAACAGGTGCTTCCGCCCAGGATAACTGCTAAACACACTGGCCATGTGGGAAGTTTGTACAAAGGGGCAGACAAATTTTTTTTTTACATAATTTAATTGGGTGGACTATAACCAAGCTCTAAATTTAACATTAAAATACCTCTAAAACAAGGGTAATAAATATTTGGTAGTTATTGATGACATATCCTTCCCGACTTTTCAAAGAAAATGAATTTATAAAATGCTGCAATTTTACTGTTTTGCAGTGGACACTGTCGTGCCTTGGGTAACTGTGCAAGTATTCCTGGATTGGTTCCATAAATGCTTCCTCCCAGAAGTGGAAAAGTACCTTGCTTCCAAGAAGATGGAATTCAAGGTGCTATTATTGATAGATAATGCACCAGGCCACTTAATATGGCGGGTGTGAGGCACTAGTTACATACCTGAGATACGATGGAGGGAGCGTCAAAAAGTGACACACTATTATATACTAGGCTAACTGGCAACTCAGGCATGCCGAACAGGCAATTCATGCATTGACATACATGTTATTTAATTCAGTTGCTGTACATTTGGCAATGAAACTCAGTACCATGGGTCAGATCAATTTCTTACATCTATTGTTACAATCTAATCGGTGTTTGAGCTTGCCAGGCAATAGTGAAATGGACATCAAATGCACAAGCTGATAACGCCTTTCTTACGACCTCATCAAAATGCAGACAAGGGCCTACTGAGAGTTTCCCGTTAGATCTTGGAGGCTATGTTCCTGAATACGCGACGTTATATGAAACGACATTAAGCAGATCAATTTTACCCATAAAAAATAGCAAAAATATGGGAGTTACATTCCTGAGCCTCCCTTTACCCCATGAAAAACATTACATATACAGAAATTCAATGGCATTTTTATAAAAAATAGTAAATATAGTATATATAAATAAACTAAATAATTTTGTATTGTATTCACTGATGAGGGAGGTGGTGGAGTGAGTGTGTGGTGGGTAGAGGAGGAGGGTGGTGAGTCACTGAGACCCAGTGGGTGGCTCCTTTTCCCGGTTTAAAACATCCATTTTCGTAGCAAGGTTAATGGTCTTATGTTACTTCTTCATAACACTAGCATCAGTAGCACTTGATGGGTGCTTGGAAGCCATTTTGAACGGTTAGAGTACAGTATTTAGAGCAAAAACACATAAGCACACATGAATGATGTGGAAGCGTAACAGAGACTGGCCTGGCATCGCTTGGGGACGCTGTGACGTTCCGCTAGTGAGAGGTAGCGTGGCCAGACAAGAGAGGGTGATGTGCCGTAAAAAGTAGTCCGTGACGACGCAAAAACGACATTAAATTGAGTTGTCGGGACGTTAAACGAATTATTGGTATCTAAAGAGTAGCGACGTAGTACCAAAACAATGTCAAGAGGGGCGTCGCTATACAAGAACTTGCTGTACCTAGATTTTGCCAAGGCTTTCGACAGCTTACCCCAAGAAAGACTGAGAATTAAACTGGAAGGGTACGGGATTCGGGGAAATGTCCGAGCGTGGATCGGAAACTCTCTGCATGATCTCAAGCAGTGCGTGGTGATTGATGGTATGAAATCGTCATGTGTACCCGTAACAAGTGGGGTACCACAGGGCAGTGTATTGGGCCGGTTGTTATTTGTTTGTTTCATAAGTGACATGCCGGAAGCTATACACTCCTCCACACAAATGTTTGCGGACGATACTAAGTTACCTGTATTCAGGAAATTAAGAGCTAAACAGACTGTGAAGAGCTGCAGAAAGATCTCTGTGAGGTTCAAGAGTGGTCGAAGAAATGGCTGCTAAGATTCAATACCACGAAGTGTAAGAGGCTGCACCTGGGATGCACCAACGGTAAGGAGGCGTGTCATATGTTCCAACGGGATGAAGAAACTGCATTAATAGAGACTGAATGCGAAATGAACCTGGGTATGCATGTTGACAATGAACTGAAGTTCTCGGGCCATTGTGAGAAGAAGGTGAATCAAGCAACTAAATTATTAGCTCTTACAAGACGGTCGTTCAGATATCTAGACGGTTCGTCCCTTGTAACGATCTTCAAGAGTGAGGTACTTCCCCGCCTGGAGTAGTCATCCTGTCTGGTCCCCGAGATATGCTAGAGACTGTCAGTTGAGTGAAAATGCATTCCCAAGTTGTAAACTTATAGGTACCCATTTACAGCTATGTGAACTGGGAGTGCCCAGGAATCGATCTACTGATCCTAGGAACAGGAGGCTAGCGCTGTATCCACTTCAGTATTACTGGCTTTGAAATTGTTAAGTAAATTGTTCCTATGCTGTATAGCTGTAAAGAAGAAATCGTTTTTCATTTGACCACGTACTCAAGGTATTACAAAATTATGTTCACTGCCCCTATGGCCTTGCCGTCAATTTATATTATACATAATCCTTACAGTGTTTGTGGCATGATACTGTATCCAGGAAACAAACTACTGTAGTGGTAGACCCTGCTGCCATACGGCATCACAAAAATTGTGACCCAAGTCCTAAGTTACTGATCAGAGTTAGTTTCTCAATTGTTTCTGTTTCTTTTACAACACAACAAATATATCGTTTCTCACTCTTTATTTGTTTATTTTTTCCATTTCTGAATTTATTTTGGGTTCTTTTTTTTGGGGGGGGGCCTCAGGCCCTGATGTGGGTCGGTGATTTGTGCCTGGGTGGGCTAATCCAGGGGGGTCAAGGGGGTCCCGTTCACCCTTTTCATCATAAAATTTCATTACTTTGTCTTAAATGCAGTATAGTACTCAGGCATTTTTGTATAATACAAAGTAATTACTATTGACCTCGAATATCTCCTAATATCAAGTGCACATGGCTTCTAAATGGCCTCAAAATGCCCATAATATTGGTCAGATTAAAAAAAAATGCTAGCCATTGTTCCACCACCCACAACTTATTGGACCCCCTTTGATATTCCTGTAATCCCCGTAAAAAAAGTGACAACCTTAAAAAACCCAATGGATGGAGGAAATGGGAAGATAGGTAAAGAGCAAGTTGGGATGCTTGTGAACGAATGAGGGAGGATTCATTTTTTTTAATTTTGTCACTTACAGCAGCTAGTTAATTGTGCACCCCAAACTCATCCTGTGGGCGGTAGCTCAAAAGGATTACAGAGTAGAGTTCCCAAAGGGTCTGTATAACTAATCCCCCTTGGTTAGGATATTATGGTTATTGAATATTACAGAGTATTTCAAATAAATTCTTTGTTTAGTTCTGAACATAGAGCATAACATATTCGCAACTGCGTGAGTACAAGAGTGTGAGGAAATATTAGCATGAGAGGTATTCAAGCACATTGTGTGTTTGGTTCTATACATGGGAACTGATATAACTAATTAGCACAAAAAAGCTATCTTCACACAGTCGAGGAGCTTATGATGAAGGGATGTGGGGAGGAGGGAATATGAATGGGGCAGGCTAACTCAGATGTGGATAGTGGAGGAAAGGAGTGAAGAACAATCAAGAGGATAAATAAAACATATCAGGAGGAATGCGATCAGGGAAGACAGCGAAGAAACAAGAGTGGGGAAGTAGAGGGATGCAGTGTTCAGAAAAAGAGAAGGATACAAGAGTTGTGGAGGAAGAGTTGGGATTGGGGAGAGGAAAGGGAAGAGAGCAGGGAGAGGTATGCCGGAATGGAACTTGTTTTTATTATTTCGTTATTACTGCACTTCAACAACTAAGGTCTTTAAGCACATAACAAGGTCAGCAATTCCACCATAAGCCGGTGTTGGTGTGTAAGGGGGGGGGAAGACATGTGTGGTAAGACAGAGTTTTGTTAGTGGAGGGGGTAAAGGGGGAGAGGAGGATTTACCATTACAGTACACTCTATTGTATTTAAAATCTAATCTATAATTTATCAAGAAAACTTACGAATAATTACAAATATAATTTATTCTATAAAATTAAATAAGTATATTGTGTTATCTACCAAAACACATATAGTTTATATTTTAACTCAAACACGCAGTGACTGAACGCCATTTTCTCAGAGTGGTATTGAGTGGTTGAGTTGTTCCAGTTTTAACCTGACTTTCTGGAGTTCTCATTGATGTAAGTATTATTAATTGTTCACAAGAAGAATATAACTAACAAAACGAACTAGCTCAGATAATAGAATATTCGTGGGTTGTATATTAATCGTGTATTGGGAAGAAATATTAAGTGTTTTTATCGAGTAGGAAAGATGGAAGTCGGTGAGGTATAGTGTTGAAGTATTGACGTGGACGAGCCAGGTATAGTCCATGTGTTCCTGATACTATTGCCTTCCTCAAGCTACTACTCCACACACACTCATTGGAAGAGTCAAGTTGGTAGGTTTTAAGAACTATGTGAGGCAGAAATTAAAGACAAAAGGTGTGGCTGGTTGGTAGATGCACACGTTATAGAATAGTAATTGCAGACAGTTTGATCATGGATACACATTGGATTTCACGTTATGTTTAGAAATTTACTCAATCCCAGTCATGAGTGATATGCAAAGCCTCACTTGCCATATGAGTTAATCTTGTGTATTGGTGTACAGTACATGTATGTGTGTGCAAACTTATAGTGTCTCCTTTACAAGGCCATTCACAAGGAGCTTATCTGTATACAGTATTATTGTTTTATATGTATGAGTGAAAGAAAATTGAGAACATGTTAAAAGTTACAAAATAAGGTAAAATTATCATGCCGGTCATGCACCTATCTAACCTAACAAAACCTAACCTAACCCAACCTAACCCCCTAGCCTGGGGCTCTGCCTCTGGGCCCCCGGTAGGCCTAGCTTAAACTAACCTAAATGTGTCTGTAGTAAAAACCTTGGGGGCGCGCCATGTCCGAAAGTACAATACCTTGGTTAGAAGTGGAAGGACCAGGGGTACATAAGAATTGGATAGAATGATTGTCGTTCTCGTAAATCTCGGCAATAAACTTAAAATAGTCGTAGGAGCACAAATGACAACCAACCTCCACCACGGCCATTGTGAGACTGGTCAATGAAATTACCCAGGCTGCTTCCTTTGAAAAAATCAAATGTGATTGGTCGAAAAAAATTTGCATGATATTGATACATCATTGATCACGACTGGATGACGTCGGTCAATGTTGCGCATAACATCTCTTCAAGGTAAATAAGACAGGGCGACACTTGTGACTGAGCGAATTTAATAATATTGAAAAATTAATATCTCGGTTATACTTAATTTCTGGCTGAAGTGTCACAGATGAAAATGGTCTTAGAATTGTCTAAACATTATAAACTACATATTAATAACAGCGAGAGAAAGACCGGTGCATATAGAAAAAATCACCAAAAATACCGATAAATTGTATTAAAAAGGGTTAACTCGTATCCACACCAACTTGTACCTAAGATAACTCGTACCCAACTCACGAGATAATTCGTACCCAAGATTACTTGCACCCAATTCAAGAGATAATCCATACCCATTAGTATATACAGTAGTTTGTTTGAATGGACGAATCTTAATGTGTATTTTCCTATATATCATGTACACAAGGATCATAGTTACTGCCCTCTTAAGTTATCAGATTCATTCGCATCCAACATATCCACATGAAATTCTTGTTTTGGACTGCTACCGGTTTTCTAGAAGTGTTTAGTTGTGCATCACTCTAAGACAACTTGATGGATACTGGGCATAAGTTAAAAAAATCAACCTTTCATATGGTAGTATGGAATGGTGCCAACAGAAGAGATTTATAACCTCAGCTGCTCATAAGAGTGTGCATACATATGGTATACTGTGTACATCACACCCATAGAGTACAGAAAAAATGCTCTCATATATACAAGATATCAGTGGAAGGGTTAATTATATGTGCATTATTATTTTTTATTGTTGCATTTTATATCATAATTTGAAAGCTTAATTGAATTTTTGTTTTTTCCAGAGACTGGCAGGCTAGTTGAAATGGCGTTCAATCCTCGTCCTCCACTCATGCCGGGCGTACCATTATCAACCATGATGGGGGCACCTTTCACTCTAGCAAGTATGTAATTATCTAATTTTGCATCAGTCATTCCTTGTCACTAGTGCTTTGTTTGGGCTACTAATGTTCTTGAGAGCTTAAAAGAAATGTTGTCCTGGTTGTAGTAGAGCACACAGTTTTTACGCACTTATATTTGCATTTTTATATTAGTACATCATAACATAAGGGTAGATTTGATTTTTTCCCATCTTTTGTCAAGATTACAATCCAGTACTTAGGATAAATGTAATGATTCACCCTTGTGTGTTGACAGTTATTAACATACTATACTGTATACTGTAGTAGCTATATGGATATTTATGATTTGTGTGTCAGCCTATTTGAAGACTGTTTTAAGTGTGAATAAAAAAAAAGATGTACCAGTTGGCAGTAATTAATGAGATTTGCATAAACTTCATTTATGTTCATAACCAACAAGGCCTTCACTGTTTTGTGATTAGCTTAATATTGGTTAATTTCGCTGAAACCAATGGCTTCAGAGTTTTCACCTGTTTTTAATCTTGTCAAGGAAAGGAAAACTCAAGTTTATGAAAAAATAAGCCTATTTCATCCTGGAAGAGAGAGCTAAATTCTGTGGTCACAGTAGTGTATCTCACAGAACTAGAGGCCACTGGTTTGGTTCTGGGTGCTGCACAGATTTATCTGGGCTTCACATTGATACCTGTTTGTTTATCATATATAACAAAGTCATTTGATAATAGATTTTATCAGTGTACAGTCAGCCACAGGAATAAGTATACACACTAGCTGTAAGGTCCGAAAATGGTCTGGTAACGTTGAAACTGTGCATCCAGATGCATGATGAAACTCGGTTCCCCCCCTCCTGTTATCTCTAACTATTTTCTGTTTTCCCTTCTTTATTCTTCTATTTACTCCCCTTACTTCATTTACAAATCCAAACATCAGTAAAAAAACTAGGTAAGAGAAAAAATGGGGGAGGAGGGAGTTGTACGATAACTGCAATCCCATTTGGCAACAAGTTTACCACCATTGGATACAATACTGTATATTACTTGTAATATAAACACAAGACACTAGTAAAAAATTCACAACGAATGTATTTATAACATATATGTAGGAATAAAACATAAATTACAGGTCATTTTGTCTGTTCTGTTCAGGACAATGTTACTAGATATTTTGTCTCAAACACGAACCGTAGATTTATACTTATTCATGTGGTCGACCGTACCTGTCATTATATATTGATAGATAGTACAGTACTGTATAATCATTTTGATAAGACACCTTATGTTGCACATGATGGAAGAAATGAAATAAAGATAATGCAAAATTAAACAAGAATGTCTGTGTTGATCACAATGCTTCATTTGTGCTACTGCTGCTTATTTACTTGCTGGATATTTTGCAGCTCTGAAAAGCACATTATTATTGGCTGCTGTTAATAATAAGTTAGTGTTAATGTTGCATGGCCAAAAACAAAACAAAACAAAACAAAAAGCTAAGTTAAATTAAATGGTAACCTTATTACAGTACAGTACTCAGATATTCAACTGTTAATGTTGTTGTGCAGTATACAGGGCTGTACTGTAATTCTCATGGTGAACCTTGACTCATTTTTGTTTGGGTACCTGTAATTGCTCTTAATAATCCGAAGCTTCTCCATTTCATATGCTGCACAGTAATGTAGCCCAACTTAACAAATGGGTTCAAAAGCTCATGTCTACTCCTGGTTTTCAACTAAACTTTTTGTGTTATGCTCAGACCAGCAACTGAATAGAATGGTAAACTAACTTTGTTGTAGATGGGTGTGGTAGATGATAATGCAATGTAAATGTCATAGATTGTTTCATCCCCTTCCCATGAGTTTGTATATTGCATGAAAATGAATTTAAAGCTTTTAGATTCATCTCAGGGATCTGTCAGTTGAATGAATAAAATAAATAGAGCTGTGTTTTTTTGAAAAGAAAGTGCAACTATACTGTACTTAATTGTGGGTGTCATGAAATACTACTACAATTACAAGTACAGAATCTGATATACTACTTGTCATGGACCCAAACTATCACTTGTATTTGTATCAGGTTCTCTTGCAGGATGGAAACTGGCTTCTTATTATTAGAGGTATTATTTATTCTGATCTGTCTTCAAGTTTGTTTTGGAATTGATTTCATTTTAGTTTTTCCATTGATAGGCCTAACCACATTTCTTCTATTTTTGTCACAGTATTCTACATATAAGGATTTACAATTTCTTTAAATAGCTGCATGATCAAACCTTTGTCTTATCTTTTCTTTTTTCTTTTTTTTTCCATTTTGGTTTTTGTTTAATTAAAATTTTGGTTTCATTGGACCTTTATGTTCACACAAGCTGTCTTCTTTGGAGAAAATTGCTCAATCATAAACTTAACATTTTTATCTGAATTGGGCTAGCACATAACATTACAATACAGTACACTGAAATTGGTTACTGTAGCTATTGTACTGTGTCCTGTTGATAGCAGTGTAAATTTCTCTTTATGGCTTAAGTCATTGAGTGACTTGAGAGATGTGCCTTCATGGTCCAGGTTGCTGACTACTTTCTAGGCAGGGACACTCACCTAGTTGAATTACTGGTAAGACTATGTAAACAACTACTCCCTTGGTGATTCCATGGTGAGTGAGGGCAGAGCTGTGGCCATGATTGCAAAAGTGTGCAAGTCTTAAGGCCACTGGGATGAAACCCTGAGGTGTGTCATGTGATTCTAAAAAAAAATTGCGAGTAACAGTGATGATGTTGCACAAGCTGCCGTCAATTTATATAACGTTATCATCCCATATTATTCAAGATATTACCATGAGAAACTTGGTCGAAAATTAAGCCAAAATTGCTTCATTGGAGCTCGGCATGTTGAGAGCCGGGCTTTCTTACTTTACTGATGAACAGTTAGCAGATACCAATTATGTATGTCATGGTGCTCTTAGATGGATTACTGCTGCCACCTGTAGACTGGGGCACTTAGCTCTATTGGTTTCGTGCAGAAAAAACCATTTAAGCAACATATCGTCATTATCATCATCGTTTTGTGGCCATTTTCCATGCTTGCATGGGTTATCCGTAATTACATAATGGCAGAACTGTGCTGCACGGTCTCTTGCAAGGTTCCTAACTTGAATGTCATTTCTTACCGCTCCCCATGGCCTCCACCTGGCTCTCCTCTCCACATTTAAACTCGTGCACTCTAAACCTAATTAATTTCATCCATTCACTCCATGTATCCAAACCATCTTGACCAATATACTGTACAATGTACTCTCAGTACTCACCTGCCCACTTGACTCTAAACAGGGGTTCCTGTCTTTGTTTTGCATTACACATTCACTCACCATTCTTATTTCAGCTCACGCAAGTCTACTTATGTCATCCTTTTTAACCGACCATGTTTCACTGCCATACAGCCCAACACTTCTCACGTCAGCCACACATTCTTCCTTTCCTCGGAGAGAAGGTTTTCTTGCAGTCAATAAAGGCAGCAGCTCCCTAAACTTCCTACAGCCAGTCTTGCAACTGAGCAGGCTTCAGCACCCCCACCCAGGTAACAGAACTCATTGTTGCAGTCCAGGAACATATCCCTAATTTTCAGTTCTCCAGCCTTGCGGTGGGCACATGGTTACCTGCACATACAGAACAATTAAAGTCAGCAACATCCCACTGCACTGCACCTCTTCCACAATCATTGCAATATTATGGAGTTGTTGCCAACACCTTTCTTGCAGACCGTGGTCATTTTCCACTTTTCAGCACGGGTCCCTCTCCCACACCACTAATTAATACTTTTGATTTTGTCACAAACACACACTGGTCCTTTGCTTCTATTCCATCCTTCCATTTCTCAAATTTCTCCACTGCCTCTCCAGTACTGTATTATCTGCTGTCAGCACTAAGTCAGGAGTATTCTTAGGAACTACTGTCAGTAGTGCCACCAAAGCACTCAATTGATCTAGGATGTCCACTGGTAGAGTGACTTTTCTGTTGAAATTATATTTTGTGGAATCTTTGCCTACCAAAAGTTATTTATACCAGGACTAACACACTGTTCAACTCCCTACATCAGCATAGTTTTCCTGTTTTATATAACCTCTTGTCAGCTCAGATGTGTCTTTCAAATATTTTTCATGTTCGACAAGGGCATGTCTCTGTGAATAGATTTGACACTTGTTTGATCTCACTGCTTTTTGTTTGCTAAAGAGAAAACTTTCGTCTAAAGTTCAGTGCTCACATTTTTTTCCTGCCTGCAAACAATCAATATTTATGGCTTTCTCTCTTGTTCTCATCACAGTTTTTAAGGTTCATTGTTATTCACCCTTTTTTTTTTCCACTGGAATTATGACTTATACAGGGATTGGTTGTGTGCATTTAACTTTGGAAAGGTGTCTTTGAGTGGCATTCAACTAGTTTAATTTGCTTGACAAGTGGATTTTGCAAGCATTTTACTGCTCGCAATAAGTGATATGGGGCAGATTTTACCCGTATTTTCAGTCTTTATGTATACCGGCCCTGCTCTGGCAGTTAACACCCTCAAAGACGATGATCGTATCTCTGAAAGTTTGTAAGAAGGGTTAATTGAAGAGATTCTTATTTCAGACTTTTAAATATTAAAAGGTATTGAAGTGTTATCCAATGATTTAAGAGCAATCTTATCCTTTGTGGTGTGACTCCTGCCATTAGGCCTATACTATATTGTGGTTTGTTATTATTGGTACAGTATGTTGAGATTTGGAGTGATGAAGCTTTATTTAAGCTTAGGAAAGTTTTTAGAAAATATTCTGTGGTGTTTATTTCCTTTGGGTTGTGTGAGTTAGTTCTCAAGACATGATCTCCATCCCTTCTTCCTATAGTATTTTGGAATCTTATAAATGCAGAGCTAAATCGTAAAACAAAGATTAACCCGTACTTTGAAATCACATTTTATATCTGAGAACAGTTGAATACCCTGGAATCCTTCCATCATCTTTTGAGTGGCTTTCAAATCTGCAGGAAAATGCTAGGATAGTCATATTCTTGAGTGAGGGTTTTAGATCACATGAATCAGTTGAGGGACTCAGCTTGATGGCCTGTAATGTGTTTTTTTAAAGCACTGCTGGTTCATGGTTGGGGTTGTGCACTCACTAACTACTGATTTACCAGGAAGGTAGGTCTTTATGTAGCTTTAGCATTGACCTGATTGAGACAGTGTGTCTGCCTAAGAGTGCAGTTAACCCCTTGGACAAAACAGGCTCTGCCAGGGTTGTTCTTATGAAGAGAATTTCATTGGTCACTATTTTCTTCCCTTCAGCCATAGTGTATCATTTGTAAGTGTATTTCTTGGGTTTTCTTTCATTATCAAAGCAAATGTGTTTGATTGTTACAAATGGGCAATATTTTTCTTCTCCATAATTTGAATAAATGCCATGTGGCTTTTATTGTTGTACAGTACTGGTATTAGCTATGCTGAAAAGTTTGTTGCTATTTTGTGTATAGGGGTTATCTGATACTATATATACAAGTACTTCTGATACAGTATTAAGATTTTTTACTTAACCCAGTTTTTGTAATGCTTGTTAAGTACTGTGCAGTACAAAATTTTTGCGCAAAATTTCAGTTAGAAATTGGATAAATTTTTTTGTTTAATTTAATCTTGGTAACTATTTTAAGCTTTTTTTTTTTTTTTTACATTCTTTTAAAGTTTTCATCTTAGATTAAATTTTATATTCATAAAATTCGTTAGGTATTAACCTATGATCCATTTTGTTAACTTGAGTGTTCACTATCTTGAATGACAAATTTGCAGTTTCAATTGTAACGTAGCGTATCCAATTATCGTCAAGAACATTTGTTTTGCCGTCCACAGTCTCCCATTAAATTTCTATCATCATACCCCATAGATATGAAGAACTGATTCCGAGACGGACCCTTGTGGCATGCCACTTTTCACTTTCTTTCAGGAGGACCACTTACCATTGATCTGCGTCAAATATCGCCTATTGGTAAGCCAAAAAGCAAGCCAGTTTAGTGAAATATACATCTTCATCTGACTGGCTTCTATCATCAGTTTTTCTCAAAAAAAAAAAGGTTTCATATTGGTCATGACCTGTTACAGGTAATCCTTGTGCATTTGTAGCCATAGATTTTGAAAGAATGAGGGTCGTTTTCAGGCAGCCATTTGGAAAGCCAGCAGATGTAAGCTCTTTCTACGGTATAAAAGAATAGACTAGGGTTGTTCTGCATATTTTAGATTTACTAAGATATTTTAATTATTTTCCAGCCAATATTGTGCAAGCAGTTGGCATCCCTATATCACAGGTATGTACAGTTACAATATATTAATTAATGTACTTTTAGTGTTCTTCCTTTGGCTGCTGTACTGCCATCTGTACAGTACAAGGTGGCCTAAGCAGATTTCTCTTAAAAGTGTTCCTTGTTTGATCTTCTGAGTTGTCACTTCTTTCCTTGCTTTCTCATTTGGAATTTAGAATGCATTTTCTTGTTAAACTTTTTATTTTCTTTATTTTATTTTTGCCTCATCCGCTTTGCTTGTGTTTTAGTAACTTGAGTTTTTTTAGTTTTTTATTTAACAAGACTAATTTGAAAACATTCTTCGCTCTGGTTCATCAGAGCAACTATGTTTATACAGTAGTACTGTATATGTTAATCTTGAGTACTTTGTATAAATTTTTTTAATACTTTTATCTAACTTCTAACAACTTCTATTTGTAATAGCACTAACTTTGTTAGATTTTTTTTGTGCATGTTACACCTTTTTTGTCAACCTTATATCACACTTTGTAACTTGTTTATCACTTTAGCTCAATGCTATTCTGCATCTGTTTAAATCGCCTGTTAAAAGCAAACATTTTACATTATGGGCTCATTATGTCTCTGGGTGTCCATAAACTTTCCTGGTGTGGAGCAACACCCATTTATTGATGAAACATTACAGTACATGAATTGACAAAATGCAGAACTCCAAAGAGGTCAAAGTTACAGTTGAAGATCAAAGGTCAAATATGGCATTGGGCATATTGTTTTATGTACTTTTTTCTCAGTGAATTCTTGATTCCTTAGATGAGGGGTTCTGAACTGGGGTCCCATGGACCTTCAGGGGGTAGGTGCAGCCTCATCATGGGTACATGTACATGAATTAACATTTCAAGGATCCAAAGGTATATTGGGCATATACAGACTATGCCATATATATAATTTTTTTACTTTATGATAAACCTAGTTTATTAAAGGAATGCAAGCAAAAATGGAGTCACCATCTCATACTGAGACAAAGAGGAATGCTGACTAAAAAATGTTCAGAACCACTGCCTTAGATTTTCCTGCAGTTCACTGAAACTTCATAGAGATGGATGCAGTTCTTTGACTGTCTTTTAGATGAGGAGTACAGTATATACTATATATTAGTCAGATGTAATATTAGTATGGATATTATGAGGGATTGAGAAAGTTCAAATGTGATACAGTAACTATGTCTGTTTGTATGGAGAGAATATTAGATGAATATACAATATATATAAAAAGAGAAGTAAATTAGAATATATATATAAAATGAGAAGTAAATTAGTGAAATTAGAGAGACCACAAGTGAAGTTATGGGATTGAGGGAGAAGGTATCCCATGGCTGAGAAAAGGCAATTAATAATGAGCACAGGACTTGGTCTGAAAGTCAAGGTAGATTGAAATGGACGACACTGCTTTTTCTTTTTTCACTCACAAGCCCTTCTCATTGTGATGGAGTATGGACAGATTCAAGGTCAAAAAGAGTCTCCTTTTATTTGCCTTCATCCATTCACTCAAAACTGCTGTGACATGCCCAGAAACCATTCAGCATCATGCTTTTCTTTCATTCACATGCTCTGCTGCTTCCTTGATGTACATCTACCTTTTTTTTTCAGTAATGAATTACCTTCACATATCTTTCCATCTCTAATGTCTTCCACCTCTCCCTTCTACTTTTCACCGATCAATCATGCAACTTTAACCAATTTTTCACATCCCATTCTCTATTTGTCTGCTACTCTATCAAACTCGGGGCAATATTTGCAAGACATTTTAAATATTCAGCAGTATTAAATATTCATGATACGTAATTATAGAATGATTACTCTTCAGTTTACTGTATTAAGGACAAATCGTCTGATAGATAATAACAAGGAATTAGTGGTGTTGCAAGTTGTGGAAATATGAAACGTGGTTGTACCAAAAACCTTTCTGAAACTTTCATAATTCTAGTTATTTGGTGACAAGGTATACACACGATTCATCAACAAAACATAGTGTACAGGCAAACCGTGATTTAAGAGTTATGTTCCTGGAAAAGCCTCTCGTAAATATGTTTTTCATAAAGTGCTGCACATTTACCCATTGACTCCCATTATTAAAGCTGAGATTTTTTTCGTTAAAGAAATTTCTCCCAAACATATTAGAATGCCACAAATTTTTAACAATGTTTTTAATTACAATTTTGGTGTACACAATCATTAAAAGATGATGATAAACAAAAGACAGTACAGGTATATGAAATACTGTATGTTCAATAGCTACAGTAAGAACTTTATACCTGTTCTTAAAGAGAAACCGGACGAGATTTGAAATAAATTGAACAACATGAAACTATCCTGACATCAAAATACTCCCATTACATATGGCTCCTATTACATGATTCAAGATGTTTTCTGAGAAAAAATTCCAGGCTCTACCCCTGATGAGTTAATGTATCATCCTAAATTTCCAATTTGTTTAGATAGTGTGAATGTTGCTGTCACAGATGTCTTTAGCTATGACAAACACTGATTAAAGGATCAGGTCTTGTGTACAGTACTCTGTACTCATTCTTTAATATTAATTTTGTTTTGCTTTTGGTTTCCTCAAACACCAACGTGATAGAAATATGTTTAACAGCACTGAAAGGAAACGTTAAGTGTGTGTAAAAATAAATAAAAATTAACAAATACTGCACAGCAATATCCCCGATAGCCGCAGGCAGTTGGAGAAAAACATTTCTGTGCTTGAGAAATTTCTGAGTATTGAGATGAATTCTTATTTCCTGAAAAAAATTGCATACTTACAAATACTTTCTGTGAATTGGTGAATGTTTCAGGGTCTAAACTACATGTCTGGTATGGAGCACTGTTGCTAGGGAGGTTTAGCTACAGTTGGACAACTACAGAGCTGTATTTGTTTATATGCAATCCCGACTATACAGGTACAGTACAGTGAATTAAACAAAATACTGTACTGCATGTTTGATTTTTAATAATTATGTTTTACTTTAATATCATTCATTAATACTGTAGAATAAATAAGAAAAGGAAGAAAATGCGAGTTACTCCTCGCCCAGTGCTCGGAGTTGTAGTTGTCTTCCAACTTTTGCTAGACACTTTAAATATCTTGCAAAGCTGAAGACAGAACATCTGTTGAGAGTTCACACAGTGGTGGATCTTCTGGGTCATCTAAATCCTCACATGCTGCAATTGCTTCAGCACCCAGTTGTTGCAATTCCTCCACTGAAACTTCCTCCCTATGTGACTTCAGCAGCTCCTCAACATTTCCCTTCTCCTCTTCATCGAATTCTGCTTGTCTTGCTACGACTGCACATTGGCATTGGACTCGCTGCAATTGTTCAGTCTGCACCACAAAACCCTGAATGTCATAAACAACATGAGGATGGAACTTACGTCACACACCATTTAAGCAGATTCTGTGACATCTTACCGTGCTTCAGCAATAATGTTGAAACACTTCTAGAACTCCCTCACAATGGGCTTATTGTCTCTGTTGGTAGCTTCTATCAACCTGACAAGGGTGCACTTGAGATAGAGTAGTACAGGCTTTAGAGGCAGCAATCACTCCTTGGTCCATTGACTGCAACTAGGAGGTTGTGTTTGGTGGCAAAAACACCACTTTAATGTTTTCACCAAAATCAGTAGCACAAGGTGGATGGCTAGGAGCATTGTCTAGAAGTACAGTAATAAAATCTTGAAATCTTGATTTTTTTTCTGACAATAATATTGAAGGTCAGCATGAAAAGTTTCCAACACATAATCAATAAAAAATTGACCAGTCATCTTACTTTTCTTGCTGGATCGAAAATGAATGCCAAGATTAGCCCAATGAAACCCTTGAGAGCACATGGGTTTGCCCTGGTGATACATGCGCTCAGGTTTCGGCCAATCGCCGCTGCCCACATTGGCTCCCAGCATGATGGTGTATCGGTCTTTGGCGACTTGAACCCTGGAGCTTTGACATCGTCCTTAATGATGTAGGTCTTGGAAGGCATCCTTTTCTAATATAGACCGGTCTCATCTACATTGAAAATTTGGTCTGGAGAACAGTCCCCTTCCTCAATCACTATCTTGAGAAACGCGGGGAATGCAGTGGGATCATCTGCATTCACAGCTTCTCTACTTAGCCTAACATTATGCAAGTTGAAGCAGATCTTGAACCCTGCAAACCACCCAGTGCTTGCAGTAAATGGTTGGACATCATCTTCAGGCTCATACCTTGAGTCTTAAGTCCTCATAAATGGAGATTTATTTATTTTTTTAATGGTTAAGAAATTTTTCCCAAATTGTTTTAGTCTGGTTCTTTATCCACAAACTGAGATCTGACTTGCACTAAGTTGTGATACACTAGTACAACTTGCCTTAATTTTGTCAGCATTTCCATGAATAATGTAGAGAGTAGATTTGGTAAGTCTGGTGGCATTCATAGTGTGTTCTTTCACTTCATTCATAACATTTTATCTCGTCTAATTTCTGCTCGAGCATTATGGGTTTTCTTCGTTTCACTTGCTGAACATTACCACTACCAGAATGCTTCACACTTTTGCCACTTATTGACACAAGGCAAAAAAAATAATAAGCAGAAATAATGTCCACGATCATATGACCGATGCTGAAGTAATGTAAAGAACACTATGGGTTTGCAGTGTCCCCTCTTGTAGTGCTACATCCCAGGCGACCATGTAACCGCTTTGGTCATGACACGCATTTTCTCAAATCGGGTTACTGTACAGTATAGTAAAATCGCAGTTGCACTTTGGAAAAGGTGTTGCCTAATAAATTTATCATGTTATAGCCAAATTGTGCCGTGAAAAGTCGCATTAGAGAACTTACTGTACATAAGCCAATCATAGGCATCCTTTGGTACAACTGCTGCACCACTATGCAGCCATAGTACGTATCCCAGGTAGCTCACAGCTCCTGGTGTACTGTTTACATGACACTCACCACAATTATGTCATGGCCTCACCAAGCCCAATGTTCCATGTTCCTCTTGACACGTCTCATGAATAA